ACACTAGTACACAGCAAGTAGAAACAAATATGAAAAGAGACAATAATAACTCTAAGATAAGACATAAAGTGTAAAGAGATGATTTTGTATAGTTAAAAAAGCTTTTCCTGATGAAAATATTGCATCATAACTACTACAGAACATAAAGTACTCACTTGTGATTTCCTTTTACTAAGAATAATAATCATGGAAGGAAGTGATATTTTGATGTTAAGATAGAGCTGCATGCAATCTGCCGGCAGCCTCCCACGAACCAACACTTTCTCCAGATTTTAGGTTGTGAGTGAACTGCTGTTGATTCTAAACACTGGTTACATTTTTACTTTTCATGAATACAGCAGTTGTGACGAGGCCAATACAAATACAATCAACTTTCTGATTAGAAACTAAAGGACTTCAACAGCCATGTCGTTGGCAGGAACTGGATGTGTGTTTGTGGCTTTCGTCTTATACATCTCAGGTACGAATTACTGTTTGGTGTTTATCCCTTCTCATGATATGATGATTAACTGTAGAACTGCCAAATTTGTGGAGAAACAAACTGTGGACTATCAAACTAAAATAATTGACTGTAATGAAAAATGTATTAATGCAAAATACAAAAGAATATATTAAAATTTAACTCTCAAGAGTACGACCTGTTACAATCAGCTCTTCAACTGGAATTAATCTGTCTGCTAAGACGTCTGCTAATAAACATTAAATATTCTGTTAAAGGGGTTCAAGGACGAGCAAACAGCATCTGTGCCTTAAAAGGTTCATCAGTGGATCTGCCCTGCTCTGCTAAAAATCCCACTTCAAGCATGAAATGGTACACTGAACACTGGGACAGATATAAGTATGTTCAGAATTAACTCTCTGTAGAAGGAAATCGTGTAACGTACAAGCCTGAAGAAAGTCATCCAACTCTAACAATCAATGATCTGAGACAGAGTGATGCAAACTTTTACTGCTGCAGAGAGAATACTGACCAACCACAACTCCGCTGTCTCAATGTAATTCAGCTCAGTGTTTCAGGTAAACTGACAGTAAGTCGTCAGTAATCATTATTTTTAGAATCTTAACAATGTAATCTCATTTCATTTTCCATCAACTCAGACCTGCAGGTAAAGGTGATTCCTGCCACAGAGGGACAGACAGTAACACTGATGTGTAGCACCAGCTGTCCTCTGACTGAAACCCCTGCAGCCTACATCTGGTACAAGAACAGAGAGTTTCTCTATCAGGACTGGTCTCCCTGGTACCAACAGCTGGTCAGCAGTGAGGAAGCAGTCAGATACTCCTGTGCTATCAAAGGCTACGAGGATCTCAGAGCCCCTGAAGTCTCAGTGGGTGAGTGACAACATTTAGCTTCTTATCATGTGACATACCTCTTCATACTATCAAGAAGGGTTTTGTTATAAGGAACTGGAAGCTTAAATTACAAAGCTCATGAAGAACTGTGACTGTGTACACCAGTCTAAATAATGTTTCATATTTCTGTTTTTGTCCAGATTCTGTCACATCAACTTGCTTTACTGTGACATCAGAGGATGAGCCCTGCTCCATCACATATCCCAGAGGTTAAGTTTCCACAAACAAACACACACACACACACACACACACACACACACACACACACACACACACACACACACACACACTCCTCTCACCCTCACATCTCTAATGCCTTTTTCACAGAAACAATGAGTAATCATGATCATTTCTTTTTTACCCTTCACACTGTCATATCTTTGCTTTCTTGATAAACAAATCTGTTTTATTTCCTCATTGGCACAGTGAGTTCAGTTCTACAGTAATTTTGTATTACAATTGTAACTGTTTTGGTACTAACCAGGGTTTGAAAATTGAATGAATTAATGAAGTTATACACTTACTAACATGTTACAATAACTGATGAAAATGTATTTCATATATCCTAACAGAAGTACATAGAGTTCAAAAGACTCCTGAATGGACCTATGTCAAACTGACCTGTCGCACCAGCTGTCCTCTGACTGACTCCCAAACTGCCTATAGGTGGTACAGAGATGGATACTTAAACATATACACTGAGAGTCAACAGTTGTTAGTTTCCCGTTCCTCTGTTAAAAGCTTCTCCTGTGCTGTAAAAGGCCTTGAGGATCTGCCCTCTGCTGAAGTCTGTGAGTATGAGCACATTAACGTACTGTGTGGTCTGTTTTAACTTATGGTACATTGGTGTCATGAAGGTGAACAAATGAAAGGCAATAATGTCATGATGTGCACCACCATAGTTGGATAAAGTAACGCAAACACTGTACAGTTTAATACAGAAAGTTCTTGCACCTTCCCTTTAATACATTATTTGATTCAATATAGAAGAAAAGTAAATATTTCATAACTCTTTCTTTCTGTGTGCATCAGAAATAAAAATAGAAAATTAGTTTTTTTTCCATTTTTCTCATCAAATCACTAATGAAACTGTGTTGGTGACTTGTAGCCACTAGATGACCCTGTAGAGTCAGAGTCAGTCAGAGAAAACATGAACTAAACTGTCTGAGTATACAGACATTTATTGTTGCAAAAAAATATTTGTTTGAATCTCAATGCATTTTAGTGGATGTGAACAGCAGCTCATGACTCAATCTGTATGCTGACAGTGAAGAAGAATCCCAAAAGGAGCCCCTAAAGTCACCAAAAGGAAATGTTATTAAAAGTTATTTTAAGATAATAGATAGATAAAAGATAATTTATAATTTGTATAAATTAATATGCATCTCTAATGACTTCAGATGCAAATGGCTGTCATATAATGGCGACAACTCAGCTTATCAAGTTTTATTTTCACCTCGGAATGTCATACCATGAAATTCTTGCTACTCTTGCTGAAATCTGAATGTCCACCAGATTCTTTTTAGAGGGGCATGGACACTTCGGTAAAACGGGCAAATAACAGAAAGCTATCTTTCTCAACTATCTTATCAACCAGCTCACCCATCAAAAATATAGCAAATTGACTGCTTAAATAAAGCAATGAGCACAGCAATCGTTCAAATATAGTTGAGAAATCAGCAAACATATGCCTATAAAGCCATAAGATATGTAACGTGTGCGCACAAGGGGACCTTTTGGGACTTTTTAGTAATTTAATGAGTAATTAAATCCAAGCCTCAACATTTATTCTAGAAAAAATATATTTTTCTTATATATTTCAGGTGCTGAAGATCAGAACTGCTCGACTGTGAATTACGTCAGCAGGAGAATCTGTGCTCTACACGGCTCTTCAGTGGACATTACAAGTGAATATTCTTATCCCTACCACCAGCTGCCACAGACTAAATCTTGGTTTAAAATAAAAAGAAGTGGGAAGGAAGAAGTTAAAGAGCTGATTGAGGCTGCAGGTCATGTGGAGTATTATGACAACATGAAGAACCACCACATCCTGAGAATCAATAACCTGAAGAAGAATGACTCAGCAGAATATACATTCAGACTCCAACAACAAAATGGAGAATGGAAACAGTCTTATTCTCCTGGAGTGACTTTGGTTGTCACAGGTAATTCTGTTGAACAAATACAATGCACATGGTACCAGTGTCATTGTAAACAATGAAAAAACAGTGTGTGTTTTTTTGGTTGGAATTTGCACATGAACAGCTGACTTTTGTGTAGCCCAAACTCTTTGCTTTAGCTCCACTTAAAGGTGATAATGTAGCTTTAGTTGGCTAAATTGAATTAATTTGCTTGAATTACCCCTCAATGTGGCAGAACAGAAAACATAGTGTTTTGTTCAATAATAAGGACTTTATATTTGTGTTCATTTACTGATATATTAAATCATCTTTCAGGAAATATTGTGACTTGTGAGATACTCTTCTACATTTACTGACCAATCTAACCATCTTTCAGGTCTGAAAGTGAAGTTTACTCCTTCTGCAGTGGTGACAGAGGGTCAGAGAGTCACACTGACCTGCAGTACCAGCTGTCCTCTGACTGACAACACAAACTACATCTGGTACCTGAACAGTCGACCTCTGACCCTGCCAGAGAACCAGAACAAACACCTGGTTCTAGACCCAGTCAGCAGTCAGCATGCAGGAAACTACTCCTGTGCTGTCAAAACCCACAGCAACATCAGCTCTCGTGAAAAGACTCTCACTGTCCACAGTAAAACAGGAAAATGGACACCAGCAGCAGCTGCAGGAGTCGGAGCTGTTCTCCTGGTTATAATACCTCTCACTGTCTTCTGGTGGATTAGGTGAGGAACATTGTGCTCTGTTTAAAATCAATGACATTCAATTAATCTGAACTTGCTTGCTCATTTAAATATTCCTTCATTTCACAAACCAGAAGAAAGAGGACTTCAGATCAATCTCCTACAACTGGAGCAGCGGACAACACGGAGCAGGTAAAGATCAAACATTTCAACAAAGTTCTTACATAACATTTAATTCTTAATAAGTCCGACACTCTCCTACTCAACTTCTTTACAATTCATTCCTGTTAATACAGTGAGCACAGTGCAGTAAGTAAAAATGCTTCCTCTCAATGAACAGAAATGTAGAAATTCTGCAGCATTAGAAAACATCACTTACATCGCTCCTGCCTCTCTTCAGATTGAGTGATACTTCTGCTGACACAGAAGTACATTGTGTCATTAGATATAAGGTTTCAATTTAGCAATGTTTGATGTAAAATTAGACAACTACATTAGTTACCCAATACACAAATAGGCCATTCAGCCATTTGTTGGATATGCATCAGCCTTGTCATTAACTACTGATATGATGAGAGTTAATTTGATAAAATAACTGTAAAAACTGTAATAAAATGAGGTGGTCTGTATCCAATTATTTTATATAATTATTTTTCTGAGGCGTTAATATATCTAATCTACTCCTGCCAGTGAATACTAACTGTGCAATGCTCTATTTAAACACAGGCAACCCTCTCTTAAGATTTCATCAGTCTAGTTATTAGTACAGAGGTTGAGTGTTTCAAAATGGAAACTAATGAAATTTGTATATTCCCCTCATCAGCTAAACCCTGAACCTTTGTATGAAAACATCTCAGCTCCACCAGCAGAGCAGGAGGAACTTCACTATAGCAGAGTCCACTTCTCCAGGACCCAGACAAATCCTCTTTACTCCACCGTCCGACCACCTCAGCGAAAAGAACAGGAGGATGTTGCTTATGCTGTTGTCAACTTTAGATCCAACAAGGTAACTCATTCAGGATCTACTTACTGGACTTACTCATCTTAATGTTACTGTTAATGGCATGTTACTGCCACAGTGGTGTGTTGTTGGAACATTACTGCCTGATAAGCCAGACTTTTCAAATTCTACCACCATTTGACCTCCTGGAGTCCCCAAAAGTACTGAGTGGAGAGCTTAGAGATGTTTCTACGGTATGAGTAACAACAGCCGAAATGTGCTGGTCTCACAGTAAAGTTGATCATTGCCCCTTTATCGTAGTTTGTCAGGTATAAGTTCACTGAAGAATTTAATGCTTTGTTACTGGTGTGCTTTATGTTATTTTATATTACATTGTTTTATTTGCTGCTCTAACTGTAACAGCTGTATCTGTATATCTCAATATCTGATTTTGCTCTCAACAACATGTTGTAATCTGCAGTATATTAAAAGATCATTACAAGACATTACATTTACAGCTTGGTATTTTTTCCAATACAAGCACCAGACTGCTTCGCATCTTTTTACTGTCTACAGTAAACACTTTTGTCTTCATCTGTCTGCTATTTTTATTCAGACCTGGGCACAAACTTCAGTGGGAGGACTTATTTTGTGCAATGAATTACATTTTTAAAGGGATAAAGCCACTTGAAAACTCATTAAGTGCGGCACACATGTCAGAAGTGATAACAGGGTGTCTGCGTATCATTTAAAGTCTTAAAACCTACAAATATTACAGCTTGGTAAAAAGCAACAAAAAAAATCAATTTAAACTTAAATTGTGGGCACCTGACAAATCAAATGGCATTTTTAAAATAAGTTTTTATCAAGCAGTAAACTAACACTGCTGTGTTTTTGTGGTTGATTGACTCACTTCCTGCAGCTCTCAATCTGATAACGTTTTGATAAACAGAAGTTTACTTTTGCAGGTTTCATAAATAGCACATACACTAAGTATGAATACATTAAAAAAAAGTGACACAAACTGTGAGAAAAGACATAAAGTATAAAAAGATGCTATTGTATACTTTAAAAAGCTAAAATATTGTATCATATAACTACTACAGAACATTAAGTCTTCACTTGTGGCTTCCTTTTACTAAGAATTATCATCACTTAATGTGAAAGGAAGTGGAGTTTTGATGTCTAAGCTGCACGCAATCTGCCAAAGCCCTCCCACTGACCAACAGTTACATTTTTGATTTCTTTTTGGATGCGTTTTAATGAATGAAGCAGTTGTGATAAGGCCAACACAAAAACCTTCAGAAACTGAAGGACTACAACAGCCATGTTGTTGGCAGAAGCTGGGAGTGTGTTTACGGGTTTCATTCTGTCCTTCTCGGGTATGTATGATTGTCTGTGCCTTCTAATATGATGACAATTAAAGCAGCTACCTGCAACTTTCATTTTGTGTTGATTCTCAGCCCCTGTGAACAAAAGCAGTAGTGTTTCCACCGCCTTGTGTCATCTGTTTCAAGGGGAATCTGATCAAATCTGACCCTGTCACAGTCAGCTATATAGAAATAACCAAATCCTCAACACATGGTCTTGTTTATTTATGTAGATCATTCAGTAAATAGTCATCAGTATCAAATGATGGAAAGAATGTGACCTTTATAGTACACAATCAGTAGTCAGTACTTTATATAGAAAAGCGTGATTTATAAAGTTACACATTTGTCTTTATATTTGCTTCTGTTAAAGGGGTTCAGGGATAAACAAACAGTATCTGTGCCTTAAAAGGTTCATCAGTGGATCTGCCCTGCTCAGCTAAACATCCCACTTCAAGTATGATGTGGTATGCTGTATACTGGAATGGACACGAGTATGTGCAGAATGAACCCTATGCAGATGGAAATCATGTAATGTACAACATTGTTGGAAAAAAGAATCATCCAACTCTAACAATCAATGATCTGAGAGAGAGTGATGCAAACTTTTACTGCTGCAGAGAGAATACTAACCAAGCACACCTCTGCTTGTTCAATGGAATTCAGTTCTAGCTCCGTGTTACAGGAACAGTGTCTGTCAGTAATGAATTATTTTAAGAATTGAATCAGTATATTAATTCTTATTTTACTCACCATCATCTCAGACCTGCAGGTAAAGGTGATTCCTGCCACAGAGGGACAGACAGTAACACTGATGTGTAGCACCAGCTGTCCTCTGACTGAAACCCCTGCAGCCTACATCTGGTACAAGAACGGAGAGTTTCTCTATCAGGACTGGTCTCCCTGGTACCAACAGCTGGTCAGCAGTGAGGAAGCAGTCAGATACTCCTGTGCTATCAAAGGCTACGAGGATCTCAGAGCCCCTGAAGTCTCAGTGGGTGAGTGACAATGTTTAGCTTCTTATCATGTGACAAAAGAATCTTGTCATCAGGCACTGGAATATATTATAATAATTATAAAGCTTATGGAATACAATGACAAATTAACTGGTAATTGGACTTGTCCTTGCCTATCTAGTCTTCCGTCCACTCAAAGCACTGTTACACTACATGTCACATTTGCCTTTCACACACACTGACACAGAGATAGCAAAGCCTAACGAACGGAAACTAACTCATTCATTCATATTCACACACCGATGCACAGCAATTTGGGGTTCAGTGTCTTGCTCAAGGATACTTCGTCATGCGGGGAACCAACAACCTTTTGACTAATGGACGAAACACTTACAGCCACCCCCAAACTAAATTCACCAAAACTGAAACCATTTCTGTTTTTGTCCAGATTCTGTCACATCAACTTGCTTTACTGTGACCTACGCTAAAGGGAGAATGTGTTCTTATAAGCAGACATCAGAGGATGAGCCCTGCTCCATCACATATCCCAGAGGTTAAGTTCCACAAAAAAACTGACACACACTCATCTCACCCTCACACCTCTAATGTCTTTAAGGTCACAAAAAAATTCACAAAAGCAGTGAGTAACCATGATCATTTACTGTATTTTAACTGTTCGATGTCATATCATTGCTTTCTTGAAAAAAAAAAACTTTTACTTCCTCAGTTCACTTCCTGACACAGTGAGTTCAGTTCTATCATTTATTTGTTAATTAAATTAATGAATTTATTAATTGTATAATTGTTTTATTACTAACTGGGGTTAGAGTTCATGTTCAACAATTCATGCAACTGATTCATTAGGTTATCCACTTTAAGATGTTACAATAACTGATGGAAATATATTTATTGTCTCTTAACAGACCTACAAGTTCAAAAGACTCCTGAACAGACCTGTGTCAAACTGACCTGCAGCACCAGCTGTCCTCTGACTGACTCCCAAACTGCCTACAGGTGGCACAGAGATGGCTACTTAAACATATACATTGAGAGTGAAAACTTTTCTGTTCCAAGCTCCTTTGATAAAAGATTCTCCTGTGCCCTAAAAGACACAGAGGATGTGCTCTCCGCTAAAGTCTGTGAGTATGAACCAACTTATGGTCGGTTATGAGTTGGGACTGGAACATTTTTGTCTTTTGTCTTTTATGTTAGGAAAGAAAAGAAAAAATAAATAACATAATTGGACAAAAGGTGGACAAAATAACCAATGTGCCTTTCAATATAATGCAGTGGCTAAATACCAGTTTTAAGAATGTTTTAAGAAACATAGTTTGATTTCTTCCGTGACTGTCAGATGTGTTGATTTTCGTTTTCACGCTGCATTTTGTAATTAATCAACAAATATCTTTTCACACATGTTTCAGTCAGTGATGGAGGTGATTTACAGTATTAAAGGAATACCCAATATCTTACACATCAAAGTAATTGCTGATTGTAATAGAGCATAGTTTTCCTCTGAAGAACACTACTACTTAATTTCTGTGAACAAAGTCATCTGTTAGCTCAATCTATATTTCAGGTCTTTATGATGAGAACTGTTGGAGTGTGAATTACCGTACGTCAGCAGGAGAATCTGTGCTCTGGAAGGATCTTCACTGAATATTTCAAGTGAATATGTGCATCCTGAAAACCAGCAGCCAAATTATAAATTATGGTATAAAATAAAAACCTGAAGAAGAACGATTCAGCAGAATACAAATGCAGACTCAAGGAAGATTTGCCTGAAGTAACTGTGATTGTCACAGGTAACGGTACATACATATATTTCTATGAAAAAACGTATTTCTCCCTGACAGCTTCTCACTAGGAGCACTTGGCAGACTTTACTCATTAACGTCTGAGAATTTATGCCCATACTCTGTAGTCAAGCCTCACTCAAACCTGATAAATATTTCAGGCTAGCTCACATTAAAAAAAATGCTAAAATGCTTCAGCCATGAATTTCAGGAATGATACTAACAGCCAACCTACATTATTTCATAATTTAAGAGGTATGAGGATTTGTTATGATAAAGATTTCTCTTTAACAATGAAGAAATGTTACCTTTTCAGGTCTGGAAGTGAAGTTTACTCCTTCTGCAGTGATGACAGAGGGTCAGAGAGTCACACTCAAGGCTTCTGAACTTCAGCACCCTTTCAGTTCACTCTGATGTGGACGACAAGTTTCATAACAGTACTGAGATTCACAAGCAGAAGCATGGCGACAAACTTGAAGAGAAGAGCCAGAAAAGCTCATCTGTCACTGTTTCTAGTGTGTTTAATGTTCTGTTACTTTCTGGATGACTTGCAGCTGTGAATAAAAAAGTTTTTGTAAAATCTTTTCTAATATAAAAAAATACGTGTTGCTCTGCATGTGACAATAAAAAAATAACCACACAGTCAATGATTTTGTTTTCTTTTAGACCACAAACCAACATGTGGCTTCATGCATCTGCTACTGCATGACACATGAAGACACAATTTCACTTTATCTAATAACCACTGCACTACAGGTCCACCACATAAACTACTTCACTACAGGTCTTGTTTTACTAAGAATAGTAATGAGGAAGGAAGTGAAGTTTAGGTGCCAGACCTGCATGCAGTTTGTCTTTCAGCCATCCTCACACTGACCAACAGTCCACTCTGTCTCTGTAAGAAGACTGCTGTTGATTTTATTATTATTTATGATTCATGAGTTTTCATAAACACAGCAGTTGTAATACGGTCGTTAAATTATAAAATTAACTTTCTGATTGGAAGCTGAAGACTACGCAGCCATGTTGTTGGCAGAAGCTGGATGTGTGTTTATGGGTTTTATCCTGTACATCTCAGGTATGAATGACTGTTTATTATTTCTTATATAATACTAATTAATTGTGACCTGAAAAAGAATTTGAATGTTTTTCAGGAGTGAAAGTGCTGTAGGTGGTAATTTGTAGATAAATTTACAGGAAATTGCAGACAGATGTAGAAATAAAAATAGAAAAGATCATTGTTAGCTATCAAGATTTTCAAATATGCTGTTGTTATGAGCTCTTTAGATGCATTACAGCATGAGAAAGTATTATCAGTTAGTGATTAGTATAGAGAAGAATGTTGTAAGAAGTATAAATCTGTCCAGATGTTTGCTGATAAAATATTCTGTTAAAGGGGTTCAGGGACGAACAAACAGCATCTGTGCCTTAAAAGGTTCATCAGTGGATTTTCCTGACTATCAAATCACTAATGAAACTGTGTTGATGACTTGTGGCCACTAGATGTCCCTGTAGAGTCAGAGTCAGTCAGAGCAATCATGATCATTGTCTTGTGAAAAAAAAAACTGTTCATGAAAGAATAAATTGGACAAATCTAGTTGAGTGTTGTTGACTTATCCACCAAAAGACAAAAATAAAAAGAAAAACACACAATAATGTTCTATTTCTTATAGTCACAAATGTCTGGAAAAGAAAAAAAATCATTTGTTTTGATTTTCTTTTATTGAATAACACTGAGAGTATTTCAATGAGTGATTATATTCAAGCCTCAACATTTATTCTAAAATAACTACTGTTTGTGTTATCTATATTTCAGGTACTGAAGATAACAACTGCTGGACTGTGAATTACATCAGCAGGAGAATCTGTGCTCTACAAGGCTCTTCAGTGAAAATTTCAAGTGAATATTCTTATCCCAACAACCAGCTGCAACAGTCTAAATCTTGGTTTAAAATAACAAGAAATGGGAAGGAAGAGGTTAAAAAGCTCATTGAGGCTGCAGGTCATGTGGAGTATTATGACAACATGAAGAACCACCACATCCTGGGAATCAATAACCTGAAGAAGAATGACTCAGCAGAATACACATTCAGACTCCAACAACAAAAAGGAGAATGGAAACTGATTCTGATTCTCCTGGAGTGACTTTGGTACTCACAGGTAAGTTGTCTTTAGATTATTATATTTTTGTACAGTGATTATTGACTTCGACACCATATACTACCAGCAGTCAGCACACTCAAACTCGCAACTCGTTTTAAATTAGAATAGTTGCATTCAGTCAACAGAATTTTCTAATGTCTTCTTAAGGTTGGGATGGGTTGTAGCATGAAGGTGACCTATCTCTAAACTTAAGTAAATACCATAGTTTTGTTGCCTAAGCTTAACCAGACCTAAACATAGGGATGGCAGATCAGGAAACACTTATATAAATGTTTTTGGTAATATGTTTTAGAAGACGAACAATGTATTTTGTTTTTCACTTGAAAGAACTTATTAGATAATACGTCTATTCTACATTTACTGACCAATCTAACCATCTTTCAGGTCTGGAAGTGAAGTTAACTCCTTCTGCAGTGGTGACAGAGGGTCAGAGAGTCACACTGACCTGCAGTACCAGCTGTCCTCTGACTGACAACACAAACTACATCTGGTACCTGAACAGTCGACCTCTGACCCTGCCAGAGAACCAGAACAAACGCCTGGTTCTAGACCCAGTCAGCAGTCAGCATGCAGGAAGCTACTCCTGTGCTGTCAAAACCCAAAACAACATCAGCTCTCGTGAAAAGACTCTCACTGTCCACAGTAAAACAGGAAAATGGACACCAGCAGCAGCTGCAGGAGTCGGAGCTGTTCTCCTGGTTATAATACCTCTCACTGTCTTCCGGTGGATTAGGTGAGGAACACTGTGCTCTGTTTTAGAGCAATGGCATTCACACATTCATTGACACACTGACCTGACATCACCTATTCATTTTTATATTTATTCATTTCACTAACTAGGCCAAAGAGGACATCCAGCCAGCCTCCAAGAACTGAAACATCACATCACAACATGGAGCAGGTAAAGAAAAGGATTTGAATAATTTTTCTACATTAGAAAAAATATAATCCTTTCCACAACCTTCTGATCCTGTAGCCTTCTCTTCAGTTTTGCTCATCACCTGCACCTGGTCAACTGCTCCATGCATTCTCTCATAAGTATCATTGTTAAGCCACATAAAGACATATTGGTATTATACATTGACACACTAGGAATCTTGGACTTTTCTTCTCTTACTGCAGTCCAGATTAAAAAGTTACCGTACATCAATGTCCCTACAATATATTAGGCCAATTTCAGCTTTTTGTAATTCCATCCCTGAGTCATGATGTTCACCATCATGTCGAAACAATCGGAAAACCTTCAATGAAATAATATTTTATTTGTACAGATTGAATGAGGCCCTAAAAAATGCTTACTATATACTACTATACTACTACTACCAAACACTACTCTGATAGAAGAATCAGCCAAACTTTTCAATGCAATATGATGTAAAGTGATTTTATTTGTCTTGTGTCCTCAGATAAACCTTGATCTCATGTATGAAAACATCTCAGCTCAACAAACAGAGCAGGTTGACCATCACTATGGCAGACTTCACTTCTCTAAGGACGACACAGATGCTCTCTACTCCACCATCCAGACAGGGTCTTCTAACTGAACAAATGTTTACTGTCATGTTATTTTCCCTGTTTGGTTTAGTGACTGTAATAACTTCTGTATTCAGGACAGACAAGTGCAAACACAGAGGCGAGCACATATTTCTCTGTTGAACGCAAAGGGAAATATTTTCTGCCTGAAATACCAGAATTCACTGTCACTCTTCAAGACTTCTGACCTTCAGCACCCTTTCAGTTCACTCTAATGTGGACGACAAGTTTCTTAACGGTACTGACATTCACAAGCAGAAGCATGGCGACAAACTTGAAGAGAAGAGCCAGAAAAGCTCATTGCAGCAATCTGTCACTGTTTCTAGTGTGTTTAATGTTCTGTTACTTTCTGGATGACTTGCAGCTGTGAATAAAATTAGTATTTGTAAAATCTTTCCAAATATGAAACATACATGTTGCTCTGCATGTGATGTGGTGAACTGAAAGATCATAGACATTTTATCTGTAGCTTCCTCTTCAATAAAGCTTTTTTAAACACAATGAAAAAATAACAATACAGTCAATGAGTATGTTTTTTTTGGAACACAAACCAACATTTGGTTTTACATTTTACGACTGCTGCATGTTCCATGAAGACACAATGTCACTTTATAAAAACTGATAAAAATATTTTGGATATAATAATCAGGGAGTGAGAGAAACATAACCCTGAAGTTAAATTAAAGGTTTTCAAATAACTACTGCACCACGTGAAACACTTCACTGCAGGTCTTGTTTTACTAAGAATAGTAATGAGGAAGGAAGTGACTTTTAGGTGTCAGACCTGCATGCAGTTTGTCTGTCAGCCACCCTCACACTGACCAACAGTCCACTCTGTCTCTGTAAGAAGACTGCTGTTGATTTTGACCTTTCATTTAAATTATTTATGTTTTATGAGTTTTCATAAACACAGCAGTTGTAATAAGGTCATTCAATCATAAAATCAACTTTCTGATTGGAACCTGAAGACTACGACAGCCATGTTGTTGGCAGAAGCTGGATGTGTGTTTATGGGTTTTATCCTGTATATCTCAGGTATGAATGACTGTGTATTCTTTCTTATATAATACTAATTAATTGTAAACTCAAAGAGAAATTGAATGTCAGTATAAACAAGGATGTTATTTATACTATAAATCTTTTCAGATGGGGTTCAGGGACAGACAAACAGTATCTGTGCCCTAAAAGGTTCCTCAGTGGATCTGCCCTGCTCAGCTGAACATCCCACTTCAAGAAACACATGGTACACTGTACACTGGAATGGATATAAGTATGTTCAGAATGAACTCTCTGTAGATGGAAATCATATAAAGTACAACATGTTGGAAGGCAGTAACTTCACTCTAACAATCGATAATATAACAGAGAGTGATGCAAAGTCTTACTGCTGCAGAGAAACTGCTGAGAAAGCAGGGAAGTGCAAGCAAAGAAGAGTTCAGCTCATTGTTGCAGGTACAGTGGCTGTCAGTAAGGAATTACTTAAAGAATGACATCAGTATATTAATTCTTATTTTACTCACCATCGTCTCAGACATGCAGGTAAAGGTGATTCCTGCCACAGAGGGACAGACAGTAACACTGATGTGTAGCACCAGCTGTCCTCTGACTGAAACCCCTGCAGCCTACATCTGGTACAAGAACAGAGAGTTTCTCTATGAGGACTGGTCTCCCTGGTACCAACAGCTGGTCAGCAGTGAGGAAGCAGTCAGATACTCCTGTGCTATCAAAGGCTACGAGGATCTCAGAGCCCCTGAAGTCTCAGTGGGTGAGTGACAACATTCAGCTTCTTATCATGGGACAAATCCTCTTTATACTTTCATTAATAATGTTATTATCAGGCACTGGAACCTTAAATTATAATGTTAATGAAGTACTTTGACTGTGTACACCAGTCTAAATAATGTTTCATATTTCTGTTTTTGTCCAGATTCTGTCACATCAACCTGCTTTACTGTGACCTATGCTAAAGGGAAAATGTGTTCTTATAAGCAGACATCAGAGGATGAGCCCTGCTCCATCACATATCCCAGAGGTTAAGTTTCCACAAACACACAAACACTCCTCTCACCCTCACAACTCTAATGCCCTTTTCACAGAAGCAATGAGTGAGTAAATCTATCACTTATTTTAACTGTTCACACTGTCATATCTTTGCTTTCTTCAAAAACAAATCTATTTTTACTTCCTCATTGGCATGCAGAGTTATTTTTTTGTGTGCTAACCAGGGTTTCAGAGTTTCTATTCAACAATTAATGTAACTGAGTAATTAAGTCATACACTTAACAACATGTTACAATAACTAATGAAAAGCATTTCTGATCTCCTAACAGAAGTGCAAGTTCAAAAGACTCCTGAATGGACCTATGTCAAACTGACCTGTCACACCAGCTGTCCTCTGACTGACTCCCAAACTGCCTATAGGTGGTACAGAGATGGATACTTAAACATATACACTGAGAGTCAACAGTTGTTAGTTTCCCGTTCCTCTGCTGAAAGCTTCTCCTGTGCTGTAAAAGGCCTCGAGGATCTGCCCTCTGCTGAAGTCTGTGAGTATGAGCACATTAACAAACTGTGTGGTCTGTTTTAACTTATGGAATATTGGTGTAAAATATGTAAATATATGAAAGGCAATAATATCATGATGTGACTGGTGTTGCAGCATCATAGGGCGATAGAATAACACAAACAATGTACAGTTTAATACAGAATGTTGTTGTACCGTCCTTTTAATAAATCATTTGATTCAATGTAGAAAAACAGTAAATATTTCATAACTCTTTTTTTCTGTGTTCATCAGAAATAGAAAATGAGTGTTCCCATTTTCTCATCAAATCACGAATTAAAATGTGTTGATGACTTGTATATATATAAATTTGACAAATCGGGTTGAGTGAACAGTTCCACAACTATTGTATTATAGAGTATACAGACAATTATTTTTCCAATTTTTACAAAAAAACATTTTTTGACTCCCAGTGCATTTGAGTTGATGTGAAGCGACGACCATGACTGAACGTGTATGCTGAGAGTGAAAAGGTGCAGAAATCTACAAAACAAAATAAAAAATAGACTTATTTCTTTGTCCTGGTTTTCTTATTTGTTGACTTATCCAACTCAAGATAAAAACAGAAAAAATAAACAATAGTTTTCTATTTCTGATAATCACAAATATCTGGAAGACTTCCGCCTTTATTTCTTCTTTTTTAATTAATAATACTGAGACACACTTCGTAGTAGATCAATGAGTAATTATATCCAGGCCTCAACATTTATTTTATATATTTGATATATTTTATCTATATTTCAGGTGCTGAAGATCAGAACTGCTGGACTGAGAATTACATCAGCAGGAGAATCTGTGCTCTACAAGGCTCTTCAGTGGACATTACAAGTGAATATTTTTATCCCTACCACCAGCTGCCACAGTCTAAATCTTGGTTTAAAATAACAAGAAGTGGGAAGGAAGAAGTTAAAGAGCTGATTGAGGCTGCAGGTCATGTGGAGTATTATGACTACATGAAGAATCACCACATCCTGAGAATCAATAACCTGAAGAAGAATGACTCAGCAGAATACACATTCAGACTCCAACAACAAAAAGGAGGATGGAAACAGTCTGATTCTCCTGGAGTGACTTTGGTTGTCACAGGTAATTCTGCAGAATGAATACAATGCACATGGTACCAGTGTCATTGTAAACAATGGTTTTGTGTGTGTTTTTTTTGTTGTTTATGTTTCATGGAGATCTTAAAAATTAGTTTTTGTAAGGGCAGTCTGAAAATGCTTCTTCCTACAGGTTTAAAAATTAGCTTTTTAGAAGACGAACAATGTATTTTGTTTTTCACTTGAAAGAACTTATTAGATAATAAGTCTATTCTACATTTACTGACCAATCTAACCATTTTTCAGGTCTGGAAGTGAAGTTTACTCCTTCTGCAGTGGTGACAGAGGGTCAGAGAGTCACACTGACCTGCAGTACCAGCTGTCCTCTGACTGACAACACAAACTACATCTGGTACCTGAACAGTCGACCTCTGACCCTGCCAGAGAACCAGAACAAACACCTGGTTCTAGACCCAGTCAGCAGTCAGCATGCAGGAAGCTACTCCTGTGCTGTCAAAACCCACAACAACATCAGCTCTCGTGAAAAGACTCTCACTGTCCACAGTAAAACAGGAAAATGGACACCAGCAGCAGCTGCAGGAGTCGGAGCTGTTCTCCTGGTTATAATACCTCTCACTGTCTTCTGCTGGATTAGGTGAGCAACACTATACTCTGTTTCAGATCAATGACATTCAATTAATCTGAACTTGCTTGCTCACTTAAATATTCTTTCATTTCACAAACCAGAAGAAAGAGGACTTCAGATCAATCTCCTATAACTGGAGCAACAGACAACACGGAGCAGGTAAAGATCAAACATTTCGACAATCTTCTTGCACAACATTTAATTCTTAATAAGTCCGACACTCTCCTACTCAACTTCTTTACAATTCATTCCTGTTAATACAGTGAGCACAGTGCAGTAAGTAAAAATGCTTCCTCTCAATGAACAGAAATTTAGAAATTCTGCAGCATTAGAAAACATCACTTACATCTCTCCTGCCTCTCTTCAGATGGAGTGATTCTTCTGCTGACAAAGAACTACATTGTGTCAATAGATATAAGGTTTCACTTTGGCAATGTTGGATGTAAAATTGAACAGCTACATTAGTTACCCAATACATTAAAAGCAGAAACTACAACATTGATCAGGTGTTTGTAGAGTCTCACAGCGGCAGGGACGAAAGACCTTCGGAACCTCTCCTTCTTACACACCGTGGGTGTAACAGTCTGCTGCTGAAGGTGCTACTCAGGGACCCCACAGTGTCATGTAGGGAGTGAGAGGTGTTGTCCATGATGGATGTCAGCTTCACTAACATCCTCCTTTCACCCACTTCCTCAATGGAGTCCAGGGGACAGTCAAGTACAGAGCTCGCTCTCCTGATCAGTTTATTGAGTCTCTTCCTGTCTCTGTCCGTACTGCCCCCTCTCCAGCAGACCACAGCATAGAAGATGGCTGAAGCAACCACAGAGTCATAAAAAGCCCTGCTTACTCCAAAGGACCTCAGTCTCCTCAGCAGGTGAAGGCAAATCTGGCCCTTCTTGTAGAGAGCATGGGTGTTGTCAGTCCAGTCCAGTTTATATGGTTTATACACAATTCTTTTCAGTTTTATTAATAAATACATTTAGCACAGAATCATTATTCTTTCTAAGGCTTTAAGGTATCTAATCTACTACTGCTGATGAATACTAACTGTGCAATGCTCTATTTAAACACAGCCAACCCTCCCTAAAGATTTCATCCGTCCAGTTTTCACTATCGAGTGTTTCACAATGGAAAAAAACAACTAAAAACTAAAATTTGTCTTTTCCCCTCATCAGCTAAACCCTGGTCCTTTGCATGCAAACATCTCAGCTCCACCAGCACAGCAGGAGGAACTTCACTATATCAGCGTTCACTTCTCCAAGACCCAGACAGATCCTCTTTACTCCACCGTCCGACCACCTCAGCCCAAAGAACAGGAGGATGTTGCTTATGCTGTTGTCAGCTTTAGATCCAACAAGACAACTGATTCAGGATCTACTTAGTGGACTTACTCATCTTTAATCAGTGCCTCTACCACAGTGGATCGTTGTGGGAACATTTCTACCTGATAAGCCAGACTCTTCATATTCCAAGGCTTCTGCGCCACCATTTGACCTCCAGGAGTCCCCAAAATGTTCCTCACTGGTCCTGTCAAGGCAAAATCAAACAGTTCTTAATCCACATTAGTGGCAGGTTAAGTAGCTTGTCCTACTGTACAGATAACTTTTGTCTCAAGTAAATTGATCAATGGCTATTCCAGACCCCAATGTAAAGCAAGACATGTGGGATGGTTTTGTCAGGTGTCAGCTCATTGGAGCATTTAATTCTTTATTATGGACTTATTCATGTTTTATTATGTTATTTTATTTGTAACTGTAACTGTTAAAAAGCTTTTATAAAACTGATATTGCTCTCAACATGTTCTAACATGCAGTGCATTAAAATACCATAGACATTATACTTAGAGTAAAGTTTCCTCCAATACAAACACCATAATGCTTCACATCTCTCTGCTCTCACTCTGCAACTTTGTGATGGGAATATAAAGTGCTTTACACTGCTACAAGCTGCATGGGGATGCCTCAGTCAGCAGCATAGTACTCTAAATAAGTCTCAGTGACCATCATGTGCTGTGAGGATAGCGCCCTCTGGAGGACTGACTCTCAACTGTTAAAGAACAGAATGAGGACTCAGTTGCTTTGCTTAATGTTTTATATGACTTGACGTGTACATGTTATTTTTTCTGTCTGTTGTAGTTCAGAACAGAAAAAGAACATTGTGTACTGCAGTTCCCAGAAGCATGGCAACAAACTTCAGCTCCGTAGGAAACATATTCCTACAGAACCAGAAAACCAGAAAATCATTACAGCAATCAGTGAAATGTGAAAAATACATGTTGCTCTGCATGTGATGTGGTGAACTGAAAGATCATAGACATTGTATCTGTAACTTCCACTTCAATAAAGCTTTTTTGAAAGACAATGAAAAAATAACCACACTGTCAGTGATTTTTTTCCTCATTTTAGACCACAAACCAACATGTGGCTTCACATTTCTTTGCTCTCACTCTAACAGTTTTACATACGTTTTGTCAAAAATATGATGTAATTTACTGCTGCTGCATGTTGCAAGAATACGTAACGTCACTATATCAATTAACTATGGAACTATAAACTACTTCACTACAGGTCTTGTTTTACTAAAAAAATTGCTGTATTGTATTTAGAGCTGCAAGACAAGTGTAAAGCCTCTGTAGTTTCTCCTTGTTGCGACCTGCTATTACACCGCTAGATGCCACTAAGTCCTACACACTAGTCCTTTAATATGAGTTCGCTTTAGAAGACACTGACATTTTGTTGGTCAGTTATGTAACCTAATGTGACATAATATGTCTCTTCTACATTTACTGACCAATCTAACCATCTTTCAGGTCTGAAAGTAAACACCTGGACAGAAAGAGGACATCCAGCCAGCCTCCAAGAACTGAAACATCACATCATAAAAAAAAAAGGTAAAAAAAAGGATTTGAACAATTCTGCTACATTAGAAAAATATAATCCTCTTCTATCCTGCTTCTTTTCAACAAGAATGATAATTTCTTCCAGTCAGGACAGCAGCTTAAACTTATGCCTCTCAGCTTCTTTTCTGTCTCACCTAAATCACAACCTTCTGATCCTGTAGCCTTCTCTTCAGTTTTGCTCATCTCCTGCACCTGGTCATGTTCCTGCTAAACCATCACTCTCAAGTGTCATTGTTAAGCCACATAAAAACTATTGTTATTATAGTGTGACACAATATGAATCTTGGAATTAACTTTTTTTTACTGCAGTCCAGATTCAATAGCTTCCGTACATCAATGTCTGTACAATATATTAGGCCAATATAGGTTTTTTGTTCACCATCATGTCAAAACAATCGGAAAACCTTCAATAAAATATTTTGAATGAGCCCATAGAAAATATTACTATTAACTACTATACTACTACTCTGATAGGAGAATCAACCAAACCTTTCAATGCAATATGATGTAAAGTAATTTTATTTGTCTTGTCTCCTCAGATAAACCCTGATCTCATGGATGAAAACATCTCAGCTCAACATACAGAGCAGGATGACCATCACTACGGCAGACTTCACTTCTCTAAGGACCACACAGAGGATCTCTACTCCACCATCCAGACAGGGTCTTCTAACTGAACAAATTCATGTTTTTTTGCAAGAGGCCCTCCTGTGTTAGATTTAGTGGCTGGAATGACTTCAGTATCATAGCAGGGACAGACAAGTGTAAAGCTTAGTGTGAATATAATGCCAAGCACATACGTTTCTGTTGAACGCAATGGGAAACTGTTCTGTCTGATAAGCAGATTTCACAGTCACACTTAAAGGCTTCTAATCTCCAGCTTTCTCTAGAGGTGTGATGCAAGTGGACAGATATGTTGAATTTCTATTTATTACTAAGACTGTGTGAAGACATATTGCATTGATCAGTCTACTAATATGTCCGTCATAACAGATCACAAGGATTGTTTTCAAAGTTAAACCGAGGTGTTGTAGCTAAATGCAAGAAAAATAAACCATGTTTGGGTTTTATCCTGTACATCTCAGATATTTGTGTTTGTGTGTGTTTAGGTGTGTGTGTGTGTGTGTGTGTGTGTGTGTGTGTGTGTGTGTGTGTGTGTGTGTGTGTGTGTGTGTGAGTGTGTGAGTGTGTGTGTGTATTTTGTGATGATGCAGCTCTAAATACAATACAGCTATTTTTGGCCTGACTGGTTGGCCAGAGCTAATCTAATTATTGCCACACTCTGTGGCACATTTCTCTGCTCTCAGTCTGACAACTTTAATAACTTTTGGATGAAAAATATAATGCCATTCACTGCTGCTGCGTATTGCATGAAGACACAATGTCACTAATTACAAACTGAAAAAATAAAACAATAATTATGATTTTGATAAAATCCAAAAGTGAAAGAAACAACACCATGCCAACTTTTCAATGTCAAAGTGTGATGTATGATAACTACTGCACCACATAGATTCTTCACTACAGGTCTTGTTTTACTAAGAATAATATTGAGGAAGGAAGTGAAGTTTAGGTGTCAGAGCTGCATGCAATTCGTCTGTCAACCACCCTCACACTGACCAACAGTCCACTCTGTCTCTATAAGAAGACTGCTGTTGATTTAGACCTTTCATTTAAATAATTTATGTTTTATGAGTTTTCATTAACACAGCAGTTGTAATAAGGTCATTAAATTATAAAATCAACTTTCTGAATGGAAGCTGAAGACTACGACAGCCATGTTGTTAGCAGAAGCTGGATGTGTGTTTATGGGTTTTATCCTGTACATCTCAGGTATGAATGACTGTTTATTCTTTCTTATATAATACTTATTAATTGTGACCTGGAAAAGAAATTTAAGGTTTTTCGGGAATGTACAGTGCTGTAGGAGTTAATTTGTAGATAAATTAAAGGGAGATACATTAGATGCATTACAGCATGAGACAGTATTATCAGTTAGTGATTAGTGTAGAGAAGAATGTTATAAGAAGTATAAATCTGTCCAGATGTTTGCTAATAAAATCTTCTGTTAAAGGGGTTCAGGGACAGACAAACAGGATCTGTGCCTTAACAGGTTCATCAGTTGATCTGCCCTGCTCAGCTGAACATCCCACTTCAAGCATGAAATGGTACACTGCACACTGGAATGGATCTACACTTGTTCAGAATGAACTCTCTGTAGATGGAAACCGTGTAATGTACAAGCCTGAAGAAAATCATCCAACTCTAACAATCAATGATCTGAGAGAGAGTGATGCAAACTTTTACTGCTGCAGAGAGAATACTGACCAACCACAACCCTGCTGGTACAGTGTAATTCAGCTCAGTGTTTCAGGTAAACTGACAGTAAGTTGTCACTAATCATTACTTTAAGAATCTTAAAATATTATATATATGAAAACTCATTTCATTTTCCATTTTCTCAGACCTGCAGGTAAAGGTGATTCCTGCCACAGAGGGACAGACATTAACACTGATGTGTAGCACCAGCTGTCCTCTGACTGAAACCCCTGCAGCCTACATCTGGTACAAGAACAGAGAGTTCCTCTATCAGGACTGGTCTCCCTGGTACCAACAGCTGGTCAGCAGTGAGGAAGCAGTCAGATACTCCTGTGCTATCAAAGGCTACGAGGATCTCAGAGCCCCTGAAGTCTCAGTGGGTGAGTGACAACATTTAGCTTCTTATCATGTGACAAAACCTTTTTATACATATCTTAATATAGGAATAATGTCATTATCAGGCACTGGAAGCTTAAATTATAAAGCTCATGAAGTACTGTGACTGTGTACACCACTCTAAATAATGTATTACATTTATTTTTGTCCAGATTCTGTCACATCAACCTGCTTTACTGTGACCTACGCTAAAGGGAGAATGTGTTCTCATAAGCAGACATCAGAGGATGAACCGTGCTCCATCACATATCCCAGAGGTTAAGTTTCCACAAACAAACACACAAACACTCCTCTCACCCTCTCACCCTCACACCTTTAATGTCTTTTTCACAGAAGCAATGAGTGAGTAAATCTATCACTTATTTTAACTGTTCACACTGTCATATCTTTACTTTCTTGAAAAACAAATCTATTTTTACTTCCTCATTGACACGCAGAGTTATTTTTGTTTTTGTGCTAACCAGGGTTTCAGAGTTTCTATTCAACAATTAATGTAACTGAGTAATTAAGTCATACACTTAACAACATGTTACAATAGCTAACGCAAAGCATTTCTGATCTCTTAACAGAAGTACAAGTTCAAAAGACTCCTGAATGGACCTATGTCAAACTGACCTGTCGCACCAGCTGTCCTCTGACTGTCTCCCAAACTGCCTATAGGTGGTACAGAGATGGATACTTATACAGATACATTGAGAGTCAAAAGTTGTCAGTTTACCGTTCCTCTGCTGAAAGCTTCTCCTGTGCTGTAAAAGGCCTCGAGGATCTGCCTTCTGCTGAAGTCTGTGAGTATGAGCACATTAACGAACTATGTGGTCTGTTTTAACTTATGGGACTTTGGTGTCATGAATATGAACACATGAAAGGCAATAAGAAATATCATGATGTGACTGATGTTGCATAAAGGTTGATAAAATAACTCAAACACTGTTTAATACATTATTTGATTCAATATAGAAAACAGTAAATATTTCATAACTCTTTTTTTCTGTGTGCATCTAAAATAGAAAATGAGTGTTTCCTGTTTCTCATCAAATCATGAAGTAAACTGTGTGATGACTTGTAGCCACTAGATGTTAGTCAGAGAAAACATGATCATTGTCTTGTCAAAAAAAAACTATTCATGAAAGTATAAATTTGACAAATCGGGTTGAGTGAACAGTTCCACAACTATTGTATTATAGAGTATACAGACAATTATTTTTACAATTTTTACAAAAAAACTTTTTTTGACTCATTTTTTGTGCATTTGAGTTGATGTGAAGCGACGACCATGACTGAACATGTATGCTGAGAGTGAAAAGGTGCAGAAATCTACAAAATAAAATAAAAAAATAGACTTATTTCTTTGTCCTGGTTTTCTTGTTTGTTGACTTATCCAACTCAAGATAAAAAAACAAACAAAAAAAACAATTCTATTTCTGATAATCACAAATATCAGAAAACCTTTATTTCTTTTTTTTGTATTAATAATACTGAGACACACTTCGTAGTAGATCAATGAGTAATTATATCCAAGCCTCAACATTTATTTTAGAAAATATATTTTATCTATATTTCAGGTACCAAAGATCAGAACTGCTGGACTGTGAATTACATCAGCAGGAGAATCTGTGCTCTACAAGGCTCTTCAGTGAACATTTCAAGTGAATATTCTTATCCCTACCACCAGCTGCCACAGTCTAAATCTTGGTTTAAAATAACAAGAAGTGGGAAGGAAGAAGTTAAAGAGCTGATTGAGGCTGCAGGTCATGTGGAGTATTATGACAACATGAAGAATCACCACATCCTGAGAATCAATAACCTGAAGAAGAATGACTCAGCAGAATACACATTCAGACTCCAACGACAAAATGGAGAATGGAAACAGTCTGATTCTCCTGGAGTGACTTTGGTTGTCACAGGTAATTCTGTAGAATGAATACAATGCACATGGTACCAGTGTCATTGTAAACAATGGTTTTGTGTGTTTTTTTTTTGTTTATGTTTCATGGAGATCTTAAAACTTAGTTTTTGTAAGGGCAGTCTGAAAATGCTTCTTCCTGCAGGTTTAAAAATGAGCACAGTCAATAGTTGTTGTTTTTTTGTTCCTTTTGATAAACAAATATAATCTCACAGTAGCAAAGGTGGAACACAACTAGCGAGTTTTGTTCGATCACTTCAAAAAGTTTAGTTTTGTTTTTTGGTGCACAAAACTGTGACTTCAACAATGGATTGAATATAGAAATTGTTGTTTTTTTAGAATGAGCTGTTTCTTTGCACTGACGCCACGGGTCGCCTTCCATGGAGTCCACCATGTTGAACCACCATGTTTCTACAGTAGTCCAGAAGAGACAAACCAAACACTGGCTCTAGAAAACAGCGTTGACATTTTGTTGTTCTTTTCGCTGCCACTGTAGTTTCTTCTTTGCGTCTAGAAAGGGAGGGTGAAGTGATGGAGTGGTACACCGCTATCACACCGCTAGAGGCCTTTAAATCTTTTGTTTTTCTTCAGTTTTGAGGACTGACCAATCTAACCACCTTTCAGGTCTGGAAGTGAAGTTTACTCCTTCTGCAGTGGTGACCGAGGGTCAGAGAGTCACACTGACCTGCAGTACCAGCTGTCCTCTGACTGACAACACAAACTACATCTGGTACCTGAACAGTCAACCTCTGACCCTGCCAGAGAACCAGAACAAACACCTGGTTCTAGACCCAGTCAGCAGTCAGCATGCAAGAAACTACTCCTGTGCTGTCAAAACCCACAACAACATCAGCTCTCGTGAAAAGACTCTCACTGTCCACAGTAAAACAAGAAAATGGACACCAGCAGCAGCTGCAGGAGTCGGAGCTGTTCTCCTGGTTATAATACCTCTCGCGGTCGTCTACTGGATTAGGTGAGCAACACTATACTCTGTTTAAGATCAATGACAATAAATTAATCTGAACTTGCTTGCTCACTTAAATATTCTTTCATTTCACAAACCAGAAGAAAGAGGACTTCAGATCAATCTCCTATAACTGGAGCAACGGACAACACGGAGCAGGTAAAGATCAAACATTTCGACAATCTTCTTGCACAACATTTAATTCTTGATAAGTCCGACACTCTCCTACTCAACTTCTTTACAATTCATTCCTGTTAATACAGTGAGCACAGTGCAGTAAGTAAAAATGCTTCCTCTCAATGAACAGAAATTTAGAAATTCTGCAGCATTAGAAAACATCACTTACATCTCTCCTGCCTCTCTTCAGATGGAGTGATTCTTCTGCTGACAAAGAAGTACATTGTGTCAATAGATATAAGGTTTCACTTTGGCAATGTTGGATGTAAAATTGAACAGCTACATTAGTTACCCAATACATTAAAAGCAGAAACTACAACATTGATCAGGTGTTGTAGAGACTGACAGCGGCAGGGACGAAAGACCTTCGAAAGCTCTCCTTCTTACACACCGTGGGTGTAACAGTCTGCTGCTGAAGGTGCTACTCAGGGACCCCACAGTGTCATGTAGGGAGTGAGAGGTGTTGTCCATGATGGATGTCAGCTTCACTAACATCCTCCTTTCACCCACTTCCTCAATGGAGTCCAGGGGACAGTCCAGTACAGAGCTCGCTCTCCTGATCAGTTTATTGAGTCTCTTCCTGTCCCTGTCCGTACTGCCCCCTCTCCAGCAGACCACAGCATAGAAGATGGCTGAAGCAACCACAGAGTCATAAAAAGCCCTGCTTACTCCAAAGGACCTCAGTCTCCTCAGCAGGTGAAGGCAAATCTGGCCCTTCTTGTAGAGAGCATGGGTGTTGTCAGTCCAGTCCAGTTTATATGGTTTATACACAATTCTTTTCAGTTTTATTAATAAATACATTTAGCACAGAATCATTATTCTTTCTAAGGCTTTAAGGTATCTAATCTACTACTGCTGATGAATACTAACTGTGCAATGCTCTATTTAAACACAGCCAACCCTCCCTAAAGATTTCATCCGTCCAGTTTTCACTATTGAGTGTTTCACAATGGAAAAAAACAACTAAAAACTAAAATTTGTCTTTTCCCCTCATCAGCTAAACCCTGGTCCTTTGCATGTAAACATCTCAGCTCCACCAGCAGAGCAGGAGGAACTTCATTATATCAGCGTTCATTTCTCCAAGACCCAGACAGATCCTCTTTACTCCACCGTCCGACCACCTCAGCCCAAAGAACAGGAGGATGTTGCTTATGCTGTTGTCAGCTTTAGATCCAACAAGACAACTGATTCAGGATCTACTTAGTGGACTTACTCATCTTTAATCAGTGCCTCTACCACAGTGGATCGTTGTGGGAACATTTCTACCTGATAAGCCAGACTCTTCATATTCCAAGGCTTCTGCGCCACCATTTGACCTCCAGGAGTCCCCCAAATGTTCCTCACTGGTCCTGTCAAGGCAAAATCAAACAGTTCTTAATCCACATTAGTGGCAGGTTAAGTAGCTTGTCCTACTGTACAGATAACTTTTGTCTCAAGTAAATTGATCAATGGCTCTTCCAGACCCCAATGTAAAGCAATACATGTGGGATGGTTTTGTCAGGTGTCAGCTCATTGAATCATTTAATGCTTTATTATGGACTTATTCATGTTTTATTATGTTATTTTAGTTGTATCTGTAACTGTTAAAAAGCTTTTATAAAACTGATATTGCTCTCAACATGTTCTAACCTGCAGTGTATTCAAATATCATAGACATTATACTTAGAGTGAAGTTTCCTCCAATACAAACACCATAATGCTTCACATCTCTCTGCTCTCACTCTGCAACTTTGTGATGGGAATATAAAGCGCTGTACACTGCTACATGCTGCATGGGGATGCCTCAGTCAGCAGCATAGTACTCTAAATAAGTCTCAATGACCATCATGTGCTGTGAGGATAGCGCCCTCTGGAGGACTGACTCTCAACTGTTAAAGAACAGAATGAGGACTCAGTTGCTTTGCTTAATATTTTATATGACTTGATGTGTTCATGTTATTTTTTCTGTCTGTTGTAGTTCAGAACAGAAAAAGAACATTGTGTACTGCAGTTCCCAGAAGCATGGCAACAAACTTCAGCTCCGTAGGAAACATATTCCTACGGAACCAGAAAAGATCATTACAGCAATCAGTGAAATGTGAAAAATACATGTTGCTCTGCATGTGATGTGGTGAACTGAAAGATCATAGACATTGTATCTGTAACTTCCACTTCAATAAAGCTTTTTTGAAAGACAATGAAAAAATAACCACACTGTCAGTGATTTTTTTCCTCATTTTAGACCACAAACCAACATGTGGCTTCACATTTCTTTGCTCTCACTCTAACAGTTTTACATACGTTTTGTCAAAAATATGATGTAATTTACTGCTGCTGCATGTTGCAAGAATACGTAATGTCACTATATCAATTAACTATGGAACTATAAACTACTTCACTACAGGTCTTGTTTTACTAAAAAAATTGCTGTATTGTATTTAGAGCTGCAAGACAAGTGTAAAGCCTCTGTAGTTTCTCCTTGTTGCGACCTGCTATTACACCGCTAGATGCCACTAAGTCCTACACACTAGTCCTTTAATATGAGTTCGCTTTAGAAGACACTGACATTTTGTTGGTCAGTTATGTAACCTAATGTGACATAATATGTCTCTTCTACATTTACTGACCAATCTAACCATCTTTCAGGTCTGAAAGTAAACACCTGGACAGAAAGAGGACATCCAGCCAGCCTCCAAGAACTGAAACATCACATCATAAAAAAAAAGGTAAAAAAAAGGATTTGAACAATTCTGCTACATTAGAAAAATATAATCCTCTTCTATCCTGCTTCTTTTCAACAAGAATGATCATTTTTTTCCAGTCAGGACAGCAGCTTAAACTTATGCCTCTCATGTTCTTTTCTGTCTCACCTAAATCACAACCTTCTGATCCTGTAGCCTTCTCTTCAGTTTTGCTCATCTCCTGCACCTGGTCATGTTCCTGCTAAACCATCACTCTCAAGTGTCATTGTTAAGCCACATAAAGACATATTGTTATTATAGTGTGACACAATATGAATCTTGGAATGAACTTTTTTTACTGCAGTCCAGATTCAATAGCTTCCGTACATCAATGTCTGTACAATATATTAGGCCAATATAGGTTTTTTGTTCACCATCATGTCAAAACAATCGGAAAACCTTCAATAAAATATTTTGAATGAGCCCATAGAAAATATTACTATTAACTACCATACTACTACTCTGATAGGAGAATCAACCAAACCTTTCAATGCAATATGATGTAAAGTAATTTTATTTGTCTTGTCTCCTCAGATAAACCCTGATCTCATGTATGAAAACATCTCAGCTCAACATACAGAGCAGGATGACCATCACTACGGCAGACTTCACTTCTCTAAGGACCACACAGAGGATCTCTACCCCACCATCCAGACAGGGTCTTCTAACTGAACAAATTCATGTTTTTTTGCAAGAGGCCCTCCTGTGTTAGATTAAGTGGCTGGAATGACTTCAGTATCATAGCAGGGACAGACAAGTGTAAAGCTTAGTGTGAATATAATGCCAAGCACATAAGTTTCTGTTGAACGCAATGGGAAACTGTTCTGTCTGATAAGCAGATTTCACAGTCACACTTAAAGGCTTCTAATCTCCAGCTTTCTCTAGAGGTGTGATGCAAGTGGACAGATATGTTGAATTTCTATTTATTACTAAGACTGTGTTAGTGAAGACATATTGCATTGATCAGTCTACTAATATGTCCGTCATAACAGATCACAAGGATTGTTTTCAAAGTTAAACCGAGGTGTTGTAGCTAAATGCAAGAAAAATAAACCATGTTTGGGTTTTATCCTGTACATCTCAGATATTTGTGTTTGTGTGTGTTTAGGTGTGTGTGTGTGTGTGTGTGTGTGTGTGTGTGTGTGTGTGTGTGTGTGTGTGTGTGTGTGTGTGTGTGTGTGTGTGTGTGTGTGTGTGTGAGTGTGTGTGTGTATTTTGTGATGATGCAGCTCTAAATACAATACAGCTATTTTTGGCCTGACTGGTTGGCCACAGCTAATCTAATTATTGCCACACTCTGTGGCACATTTCTCTGCTCTCAGTCTGACAACTTTAATAACTTTTGGATGAAAAATATAATGCCATTCACTGCTGCTGCATATTGCATGAAGACACAATGTCATTAATTACAAACTGAAAAAATAAAACAATAATTATGATTTTGATAAAATCCAAAAGTGAAAGAAACAACACCATGCCAACTTTTCAATGTCAAAGTGTGACGTATGATAACTACTGCACCACATAGATTCTTCACTACAGGTCTTGTTTTACTAAGAATAATATTGAGGAAGGAAGTGAAGTTTAGGTGTCAGAGCTGCATGCAATTTGTCTGTCAACCACCCTCACACTGACCAACAGTCCACTCTGTCTCTGTAAGAAGACTGCTGTTGATTTAGACCTTTCATTTAAATAATTTATGTTTTATGAGTTTTCATTAACACAGCAGTTGTAATAAGGTCATTAAATTATAAAATCAACTTTCTGATTGGAAGCTGAAGACTACGACAGCCATGTTGTTAGCAGAAGCTGGATGTGTGTTTATGGTTTTATCCTGTACATCTCAGGTATGAATGACTGTTTATTCTTTCTTATATAATACTTATTAATTGTGACCTGGAAAAGAAATTTAAGGTTTTTCGGGAATGTACAGTGCTGTAGGAGTTAATTTGTAGATAAATTAAAGGGAGATACATTAGATGCATTACAGCATGAGACAGTATTATCAGTTAGTGATTAGTGTAGAGAAGAATGTTATAAGAAGTATAAATCTGTCCAGATGTTTGCTAATAAAATCTTCTGTTAAAGGGGTTCAGGGACAGACAAACAGGATCTGTGCCTTAACAGGTTCATCAGTTGATCTGCCCTGCTCAGCTGAACATCCCACTTCAAGCATGAAATGGTACACTGCACACTGGAATGGATCTACACTTGTTCAGAATGAACTCTCTGTAGATGGAAACCGTGTAATGTACAAGCCTGAAGAAAATCATCCAACTCTAACAATCAATGATCTGAGAGAGAGTGATGCAAACTTTTACTGCTGCAGAGAGAATACTGACCAACCACAACCCTGCTGGTACAGTGTAATTCAGCTCAGTGTTTCAGGTAAACTGACAGTAAGTTGTCACTAATCATTACTTTAAGAATCTTAAAATATTATATATATGAAAACTCATTTCATTTTCCATTTTCTCAGACCTGCAGGTAAAGGTGATTCCTGCCACAGAGGGACAGACAGTAACACTGATGTGTAGCACCAGCTGTCCTCTGACTGAAACCCCTGCAGCCTACATCTGGTACAAGAACAGAGAGTTTCTCTATCAGGACTGGTCTCCCTGGTACCAACAGCTGGTCAGCAGTGAGGAAGCATTCAGATACTCCTGTGCTATCAAAGGCTACAAGGATCTCATAGCCCCTGAAGTCTCAGTGGGTGAGTGACAACATTTAGCTTCTTATCATGTGACAAAACCTTTTTATACATATCTTAATATAGGAATAATGTCATTATCAGGCACTGGAAGCTTAAATTATAAAGCTCATGAAGTACTGTGACTGTGTACACCACTCTAAATAATGTATTACATTTATTTTTGTCCAGATTCTGTCACATCAACCTGCTTTACTGTGACCTACGCTAAAGGGAGAATGTGTTCTCATAAGCAGACATCAGAGGATGAACCCTGCTCCATCACATATCCCAGAGGTTAAGTTTCCACAAACAAACACACAAACACTCCTCTCACCCTCTTACCCTCACACCTTTAATGTCTTTTTCACAGAAGCAATGAGTGAGTTAATGTATCACTTATTTTAACTGTTCACACTGTGATATCTTTACTTTCTTGAAAAACAAATCTATTTTACTTCCTCATTGGCATGCAGAGTTATTTTTTTGTGTGCTAACCAGGGTTTCAGAGTTTCTATTCAACAATTAATGTAACTGAGTAATTAAGTCATACACTTAACAACATGTTACAATAGCTAACAAAAAGCATTTCTGATCTCCTAACAGAAGTACAAGTTCAGAAGACTCCTGAATGGACCTATGTCAAACTGACCTGTCGCACCAGCTGTCCTCTGACTGTCTCCCATACTGCCTATAGGTGGTACAGAGATGGATACTTATACAGATACATTGAGAGTCAAAAGTTGTCAGTTTCCCGTTCCTCTGCTGAAAGCTTCTCCTGTGCTGTAAAAGGCCTTGAGGATCTGCCTTCTGCTGAAGTCTGTGAGTATGAGCACATTAACGAACTGTGTGGTCTGTTTTAACTTATGGGACTTTGGTGTCATGAATATGAACACATGAAAGGCAATAAGAAATATCATGATGTGACTGATGTTGCATAAAGGTTGATAAAATAACTCAAACACTGTTTAATACATTATTTGATTCAGTATAGAAAACAGTAAATATTTCATAACTCTTTTTTTCTGTGTGCATCTAAAATAGAAAATGAGTGTTTCCTGTTTCTCATCAAATCATGAAGTAAACTGTGTGATGACTTGTAGCCACTCGATGTTAGTCAGAGAAAACATGATCATTGTCTTGTCAAAAAAAAACTATTCATGAAAGTATAAATTTGACAAATCGGGTTGAGTGAACAGTTCCACAACTATTGTATTATAGAGTATACAGACAATTATTTTTACAATTTTTACAAAAAAAACTTTTTTGACTCATTTTTTGTGCATTTGAGTTGATGTGAAGCGACGACCATGACTGAACATGTATGCTGAGAGTGAAAAGGTGCAGAAATCTACAAAATAAAATAAAAAAATAGACTTATTTCTTTGTCCTGGTTTTCTTGTTTGTTGACTTATCCAACTCAAGATAAAAAAAAACAAACAAAAAAACAATTCTATTTCTGATAATCACAAATATCAGAAAACCTTTATTTCTTTTTTTTTTTTGTATTAATAATACTGAGACACACTTCGTAGTAGATCAATGAGTAATTATATCCAAGCCTCAACATTTATTTTAGAAAATATATTTTATCTATATTTCAGGTACCAAAGATCAGAACTGCTGGACTGTGAATTACATCAGCAGGAGAATCTGTGCTCTACAAGGCTCTTCAGTGAACATTACAAGTGAATATTTTTATCCCTACCACCAGCTGCCACAGTCTAAATCTTGGTTTAAAATAACAAGAAGTGGGAAGGAAGAGGTTAAAGAGCTGATTGAGGCTGCAGGTCATGTGGAGTATTATGACAACATGAAGAACCACCACATCCTGAGAATCAATAACCTGAAGAAGAATGACTCAGCAGAATACACATTCAGACTCCAACAACAAAATGGAGGATGGAAACAGTCTCATTCTCCTGGAGTGACTTTGGTTGTCACAGGTAATTCTGTAGAATGAATACAATGCTCATGGCGACAGTGTCATTGTAAACAATGGTTTTGTGTGTTTTTTTCTTGTTGATGTTTTATGGAGATAAGTTAGTTACTTAGTTTTTCTAAGGGCAGTCTGAAAATGCTTCTTCCTACAGGTTTAAAAATGAGCACAGTCTATAGTTGTTGTTTTTTTGTTCCTTTTGATAAACAAATGTCCTCTCACAGTAGCAAAGGTGGAACACAACTAGCGGGATTTTGTTCGATCACTTCAAAAAGTTTAGTTTTTTTTGGTGCACAAAACTGTGACTTCAACAATGGACTGAATATAGAAATTGTTGTTTTTAGAATGAGCTGTTTCTTTGCACTGACGCCACGGGTTGCCTTCCATGGAGTCCACCATGTTGAACCACCATGTTTCTACAGTAGTCCAGAAGAGACAAACCAAACACTGGCTCTAGAAAGCAGTGTTCACATTTTGTCGTTTTTTTCGCTGCCACTGTAGTTTCTTCTTCGCGTCTAGAAAGGGAGGGTGAAGTGACGGAGTGGTCCTCCGCTATCACACCGCTAGAGGCCTTTAAATCTTTTTTGTTCTTCAGTTTTGAGGACTGACCAATCTAACTATCTTTCAGGTCTGGAAGTGAAGTTTACTCCTTCTGCAGTGGTGACAGAGGGTCAGAGAGTCACACTGACCTGCAGTACCAGCTGTCCTCTGACTGACAACACAAACTACATCTGGTACCTGAACAGTCGACCTCTGACCCTGCCAGAGAACCAGAACAAACACCTGGTTCTAGACCCAGTCAGCAGTCAGCATGCAGGAAACTACTCCTGTGCTGTCAAAACCCACAACAACATCAGCTCTCGTGAAAAGACTCTCACTGTCCACAGTAAAACAGGAAAATGGACACCAGCAGCAGCTGCAGGAGTCGGAGCTGTTCTCCTGGTTATAATACCTCTCACTGTCTTCTGCTGGATTAGGTGAGCAACACTGTGCTCTGTTTTAGAGCAATGGCATTCACACATTCATTGACACACTGACCTGACATCACCTATTCATTTTTATATTCACTCATTTCACAAACTAGACGAAAGAGGACATCCAGCCAGCCTCCAAGAACTGAAACATCACATCACAACCTGGAGCAGGTAAAGAAAAGAACTGGAACAATTCTTCTACATTAGAAAAATATAATCCTCTTCTCTCCTTCTTCTCTTCAACAGGAATGACCATTTACTTCCAGTCAGGATAGCAGCTTAAACTTATCCCTCTCAGCTTCTTTTCTGTCTCACTTAAATCACAACCTTCTGTTCCTGTAGCCTTCTCTTCAGTTTTTTCTCATCTCCTGCACCTGGTCATGTTCCTGCAAAACTGTTCCATACTTTCTCTCAGGTTTTTGTTTGTTAAGTATACACAATTAATTATCATAAGTATCTGTTAAGCAAAATAAAGAATTATTGTATTATACATTGACACACTAGGAATCTTGGATATTTATTCTCTTACTGCAGTCCAGATTCAATAGCTACTGTACATCAATGTCTCTACAATATATTAGGCCAATATCAGCTTTTTGTAATTCCTGGATTTGAGTCATGATGTTCACCATCATGTCAAAACAATCAGAAACCTTCAATAAAATATTTTGAATGAGCCCATTGAAAATATTACTATTAACTACTATACTACTACTCTGATTGGAAAATCGGCCAGACCTTTCAATGCAATATGATGTAAAGTAATTTTATTTGTCTTGTCTCCTCAGATAAACCCTGATCTCATGTATGAAAACATCTCAGCTCAACCAACAGAGCAGGATGACCATCACTATAGCAGACTTCACTTCTCTAAGGACCACACAGAGGATCTCTACTCCACCATCCAGACAGGGTCTTCTAACTGAACAAATTCATGTTTTTTTTGCAAGGGGCCCTCCTGTGTTAGATTTAGTGGCTGGAATGACTTCAGTATCATAGCAGGGACAGACAAGTGTAAAGCAAAGTGTGAACATAACACCATGCACATACGTTTCTGTTGAGCGCAATGGGAAACTGTTCTGCCTGATATGCAGAGTTCACAGTCACACTTAAAGGCTTCTAATCTCCAGCTATTTCTAGAGGTGTGATGCAAGTGGACAAGCTGCTGGAGAGCTAAAAGCGAGTAGAGTGCGGCGTGCAACTCTGTGTGAACACAGACAAGAATGTTTTGAGAACAGATTCCATAGTTTCAATAGCAAAAAGGTCACAAATCAGACTTTTTGATGACTTTCATTGTTGAATTAGACAGTTTGAAAGCTCCATTAGTGGCAGGTGAATCGTTGTTCCAAATAGAGATAATAAAGTATTTAAAATATGAAGCATTTAAATGTATTTACTAAGATTGTGTTAGTGAAAAGGTATTGCATTGAGCTGTCTTTACTAATCTGTCCGTCGTAACAGATCACAAGGATTTTGGGGGGTTTGATCCTGTACATCTGAGGTGTTTGTGCTTGTCTGCATGTGATGAACTAAAAGATTAAATACATTTTGTCTGCAGTTTCCTTTTCAATTAAGTTTTTTTTTTTTTCCCCACCACAAATCAACCACACACAGTTTCACATTTCTTTATTCTCAGTCTGACAACTTAAATAACTTTTGGATAAAAATATAATGAAATTCACTCCTGCTGCGTGTTGCATGGAGAGACAATGTCACTAATTACAAATTGAAAAAAAAAACAATAATAATGATTTTGATAAAATAGTCCGAAAGCGAAAGAAACAACACCATGGCGATTTTTCACTGTCAAAGTGTGACTTATAATAACTACTGCACCATATAGATTCTTCACTACAGGTCTTGTTTTACTAAGAATAATGTTGAGGAAGGAAGTGAAGTTTAGGTGTCAGAGCTGCATGCAGTTTGTCTATCAGCCACCCTCACACTGACCAATAGTCCACTCTGTCTCTGTCTCAGAAGACTGCTGTTGATTTAGACCTTTCATTTAAATTACTTATGTTTTATGAGTTTTCATAAACACAGCAGTTGTAATAAGGGCATTAAATTATAAAATCAACTTTCTGACTGGAAGCTGAAGACTACGACAGCCATGTTGTTGGCAGAAGCTGGATGTGTGTTTATGGGTTTTATCCTGTACATGTCAGGTATGAATGACTGTTTATTCTTTCTTATATAATAGTAATTAATTGTGACCTGAAAAAGAAAGACTGAAGATTTTCAAATATTCTGCTGTTATGAGTTCGTTAGATGCATTACAGCATGAGACAGTATTATCAGTTAGTGATTAGTATAGAGAAGAATGTTATAAGAAGTATAAATCTGTCCAGATGTTTGCTAATAAAATCTTCTGTTAAAGGGGTTCAGGGACAGACAAACAGGATCTGTGCCTTAAAAGGTTCATCAGTGGATCTGCTCTGCTCAGCTGAACATCCCACTTCAAGCATGAAATGGTACACTGCACACTGGAATGGATCTACACTTGTTCAGAATGAACTCTCTGTAGATGGAAACCGTGTAATGTACAAGCCTGAAGAAAATCATCCAACTCTAACAATCAATGATCTGAGAGAGAGTGATGCAAACTTTTACTGCTGCAGAGAGAATACTGACCAACCACAACTCTGCCGGTACAGTGTAATTCAGCTCAGTGTTTCAGGTAAACTGACAGTAAGTTGTCACTAATCATTACTGTAAGAATCTTAAAATATTATATTTATGAAAACTCATTTCATTTTCCATTTTCTCAGACCTGCACGTAAAGGTGATTCCTGCCACAGAGGGACAGAGAGTAACACTGATGTGTAGCACCAGCTGTCCTCTGACTGAAACCCCTGCAGCCTACATCTGGTACAAGAACAGAGAGTTTCTCTATCAGGACTGGTCTCCCTGGTACCAACAGCTGGTCAGCAGTGAGGAAGCAGTCAGATACTCCTGTGCTATCAAAGGCTACAAGGATCTCATAGCCCCGGAAGTCTCAGTGGGTGAGTGACAACATTTAGCTTCTTATCATGTGACAAAACCTTTTTATACATATTCTTAATATAGGAATAATGTTATTATCAGGCACTGGAAGCTTAAATTATAAAGCTCATGAAGTACTGTGACTGTGTACACCACTCTAAATAATGTATTACATTTATTTTTGTCCAGATTCTGTCACATCAACCTGCTTTACTGTGACCTACGCTAAAGGGAGAATGTGTTCTCATAAGCAGACATCAGAGGATGAGCCCTGCTCCATCACATATCCAACAGGTTAAGTTTCCACAAACAAACACACAAACACTCCTCTCACCCTCACACCTTTAATGTCTTTTTCACAGAAGCAATGAGTGAGTAAATCTATCACTTATTTTAACTGTTCACACTGTCATATCTTTACTTTCTTGAAAAACAAATCTATTTTTACTTCCTCATTGGCATGCAGAGTTATTTTTGTTTTTGTGCTAACCAGGGTTTCAGAGTTTCTATTCAACAATTAATGTAACTGAGTAATTAAGTCATACACTTAACAACATGTTACAATAGCTAACGAAAAGCATTTCTGATCTCCTAACAGAAGTACAAGTTCAAAAGACTCCTGAATGGACCTATGTCAAACTGACCTGTCGCACCAGCTGTCCTCTGACTGACTCCCAAACTGCCTATAGGTGGTACAGAGATGGATACTTATACAGATACATTGAGAGTCAAAAGTTGTCAGTTTACCGTTCCTCTGCTGAAAGCTTCTCCTGTGCTGTAAAAGGCCTTGAGGATCTGCCTTCTGCTGAAGTCTGTGAGTATGAGCACATTAACGAACTGTGTGGTCTGTTTTAACTTATGGGACTTTGGTGTCATGAATATGAACACATGAAAGGCAATAAGAAATATCATGATGTGACTGATGTTGCATAAAGGTTGATAAAATAACTCAAACACTGTTTAATACATTATTTGATTCAATATAGAAAACAGTAAATATTTCATAACTCTTTTTTTCTGTGTGCATCTAAAATAGAAAATGAGTGTTTCCTGTTTCTCATCAAATCATGAAGTAAACTGTGTGATGACTTGTAGCCACTAGATGTTAGTCAGAGAAAACATGATCATTGTCTTGTCAAAAAAAAACTATTCATGAAAGTATAAATTTGACAAATCGGGTTGAGTGAACAGTTCCACAACTATTGTATTATAGAGTATACAGACAATTATTTTTACAATTTTTACAAAAAAACTTTTTTGACTCATTTTTTGTGCATTTGAGTTGATGTGAAGCTACGACCATGACTGAACATGTATGCTGAGAGTGAAAAGGTGCAGAAATCTACAAAATAAAATAAAAAAATAGACTTATTTCTTTGTCCTGGTTTTCTTGTTTGTTGACTTATCCAACTCAAGATAAAAAAAACAAATAAAAAAAACAATTCTATTTCTGATAATCACAAATATCAGAAAACCTCTATTTCTTTTTTTTTGTATTAATAATACTGAGACACACTTCGTAGTAGATCAATGAGTAATTATATCCAAGCCTCAACATTTATTTTAGAAAATATATTTTATCTATATTTCAGGTACCAAAGATCAGAACTGCTGGACTGTGAATTACATCAGCAGGAGAATCTGTGCTCTACAAGGCTCTTCAGTGAACATTACAAGTGAATATTCTTATCCCAACAACCAGCTGCCACAGTCTAAATCTTGGTTTAAAATAACAAGAAGTGGGAAGGAAGAAGTTAAAGAGCTGATTGAGGCTGCAGGTCATGTGGAGTATTATGACTACATGAAGAATCACCACATCCTGAGAATCAATAACCTGAAGAAGAATGACTCAGCAGAATACACATTCAGACTCCAACGACAAAATGGAGAATGGAAACAGTCTGATTCTCCTGGAGTGACTTTGGTTGTCACAGGTAATTCTGTAGAATGAATACAATGCACATGGTACCAGTGTCATTGTAAACAATGGTTTTGTGTGTGTTTTTTTTTTTTTGTTTATGTTTCATGGAGATCTTAAAACTTAGTTTTTGTAAGGGCAGTCTGAAAATGCTTCTTCCTACAGGTTTAAAAATTAGCACAGTCAATAGTTGTTTTTTTTTTTGTTCCTTTTGATAAACAAATATAATCTCACAGTAGCAAAGGTGGAACACAACTAGCGAGTTTTGTTCGATCACTTCAAAAAGTTTAGTTTCGTTTTTTGGTGCACAAAACCGTGACTTCAACAATGGACTGAATATAGAAATTGTTGTGTTTTTAGAATGAGCTGTTTCTTTGCACTGACGCCACGGGTCGCCTTCCATGGAGTCCACCATGTTGAACCACCATGTTTCTACAGTAGTCCAGAAGAGACAAACCAAACACTGGCTCTAGAAAACAGCGTTGACATTTTGTTGTTCTTTTCGCTGCCACTGTAGTTTCTTCTTTGCGTCTAGAAAGGGAGGGTGAAGTGATGGAGTGGTACTCCGCTATCACACCGCTAGAGGCCTTTAAATCTTTTGTTTTTCTTCAGTTTTGAGGACTGACCAATCTAACCACCTTTCAGGTCTGGAAGTGAAGTTTACTCCTTCTGCAGTGGTGACCGAGGGTCAGAGAGTCACACTGACCTGCAGTACCAGCTGTCCTCTGACTGACAACACAAACTACATCTGGTACCTGAACAGTCAACCTCTGACCCTGCCAGAGAACCAGAACAAACACCTGGTTCTAGACCCAGTCAGCAGTCAGCATGCAGGAAGATACTCCTGTGCTGTCAAAACCCACAACAACATCAGCTCTTGTGAAAAGACTCTCACTGTCCACAGTAAAACAGGAAAATGGACACCAGCAGCAGCTGCAGGAGTCGGAGCTGTTCTCCTTGTTATAATACCTCTCGCTGTCTTCTGCTGGATTAGGTGAGCAACACTATACTCTGTTTCAGATCAATGACATTCAATTAATCTGAACTTGCTTGCTCACTTAAATATTCTTTCATTTCACAAACCAGAAGAAAGAGGACTTCAGATCAATCTCCTATAACTGGAGCAACGGACAACACGGAGCAGGTAAAGACCAAACATTTCGACAATCTTCTTGCACAACATTTAATTCTTAATAAGTCCGACACTCTCCTACTCAACTTCTTTACAATTCATTCCTGTTAATACAGTGAGCACAGTGCAGTAAGTAAAAATGCTTCCTCTCAATGAACAGAAATTTAGAAATTCTGCAGCATTAGAAAACATCACTTACATCTCTCCTGCCTCTCTTCAGATGGAGTGATTCTTCTGCTGACAAAGAACTACATTGTGTCAATAGATATAAGGTTTCACTTTGGCAATGTTGGATGTAAAATTGAACAGCTACATTAGTTACCCAATACATTAAAAGCAGAAACTACAACATTGATCAGGTGTTGTAGAGACTGACAGCGGCAGGGACGAAAGACCTTCGAAAGCTCTCCTTCTTACACACCGTGGGTGTAACAGTCTGCTGCTGAAGGTGCTACTCAGGGACCCCACAGTGTCATGTAGGGAGTGAGAGGTGTTGTCCATGATGGATGTCAGCTTCACTAACATCCTCCTTTCACCCACTTCCTCAATGGAGTCCAGGGGACAGTCCAGTACAGAGCTCGCTCTCCTGATCAGTTTATTGAGTCTCTTCCTGTCTCTGTCCGTACTGCCCCCTCTCCAGCAGACCACAGCATAGAAGATGGCTGAAGCAACCACAGAGTCATAAAAAGCCCTGCTTACTCCAAAGGACCTCAGTCTCCTCAGCAGGTGAAGGCAAATCTGGCCCTTCTTGTAGAGAGCATGGGTGTTGTCAGTCCAGTCCAGTTTATATGGTTTATACACAATTCTTTTCAGTTTTATTAATAAATACATTTAGCACAGAATCATTATTCTTTCTAAGGCTTTAAGGTATCTAATCTGCTACTGCTGATGAATACTAAGCCAACCCTCCCTAAAGATTTCATCCGTCCAGTTTTCAGTATCGAGTGTTTCACAATGGAAAAAAACAACTAAAAACTAAAATTTGTCTTTTCCCCTCATCAGCTAAACCCTGGTCCTTTGCATGTAAACATCTCAGCTCCACCAGCAGAGCAGGAGGAACTTCACTATATCAGCGTTCATTTCTCCAAGACCCAGACAGATCCTCTTTACTCCACCGTCCGACCACCTCAGCCCAAAGAACAGGAGGATGTTGCTTATGCTGTTGTCAGCTTTAGATCCAACAAGACAACTGATTCAGGATCTACTTAGTGGACTTACTCATCTTTAATCAGTGCCTCTACCACAGTGGATCGTTGTGGGAACTCTTCATATTCCAAGGCTTCTGCGCCACCATTTGACCTCCAGGAGTCCCCCAAATGTTCCTCACTGGTCCTGTCAAGGCAAAATCAAACAGTTCTTAATCCACATTAGTGGCAGGTTAAGTAGCTTGTCCTACTGTACAGATAACTTTTGTCTCAAGTAAATTGATCAATGGCTCTTCCAGACCCCAATGTAAAGCAAGACATGTGGGATGGTTTTGTCAGGTGTCAGCTCATTGAATCATTTAATGCTTTATTATGGACTTATTCATGTATTATTATGTTATTTTATTTGTAACTGTAACTGTTAAAAAGCTTTTATAAAACTGATATTGCTCTCAACATGTTCTAACCTGCAGTGTATTCAAATATCATAGACATTATACTTAGAGTGAAGTTTCCTCCAATACAAACACCATAATGCTTCACATCTCTCTGCTCTCACTCTGCAACTTTGTGATGGGAATATAAAGCGCTGTACACTGCTACATGCTGCATGGGGATGCCTCAGTCAGCAGCATAGTACTCTAAATAAGTCTCAATGACCATCATGTGCTGTGAGGATAGCGCCCTCTGGAGGACTGACTCTCAACTGTTAAATAGCAGAATGAAGACTCAGTTGCTTTGCTTAATATTTTATATGACTTGATGTGTACATGTTATTTTTTCTGTCTGTTGTAGTTCAGAACAGAAAAAGAACATTGTGTACTGCAGTTCCCAGAAGCATGGCAACAAACTTCAGCTCCGTAGGAAACATATTCCTACGGAACCAGAAAAGATCATTACAGCAATCAGTGAAATGTGAAAAATACATGTTGCTCTGCATGTGATGTGGTGAACTGAAAGATCATAGACATTGTATCTGTAACTTCCACTTCAATAAAGCTTTTTTGAAAGACAATGAAAAAATAACCACACTGTCAGTGATTTTTTTCCTCATTTTAGACCACAAACCAACATGTGGCTTCACATTTCTTTGCTCTCACTCTAACAGTTTTACATACGTTTTGTCAAAAATATGATGTAATTTACTGCTGCTGCATGTTGCAAGAATACGTAATGTCACTATATCAATTAACTATGGAACTATAAACTACTTCACTACAGGTCTTGTTTTACTAAAAAAATTGCTGTATTGTATTTAGAGCTGCAAGACAAGTGTAAAGCCTCTGTAGTTTCTCCTTGTTGCGACCTGCTATTACACCGCTAGATGCCACTAAGTCCTACACACTAGTCCTTTAATATGAGTTCGCTTTAGAAGACACTGACATTTTGTTGGTCAGTTATGTAACCTAATGTGACATAATATGTCTCTTCTACATTTACTGACCAATCTAACCATCTTTCAGGTCTGAAAGTAAACACCTGGACAGAAAGAGGACATCCAGCCAGCCTCCAAGAACTGAAACATCACATCATAAAAAAAAAAGGTAAAAAAAAGGATTTGAACAATTCTGCTACATTAGAAAAATATAATCCTCTTCTATCCTGCTTCTTTTCAACAAGAATGATCATTTTTTTCCAGTCAGGACAGCAGCTTAAACTTATGCCTCTCATGTTCTTTTCTGTCTCACCTAAATCACAACCTTCTGATCCTGTAGCCTTCTCTTCAGTTTTGCTCATCTCCTGCACCTGGTCATGTTCCTGCTAAACCATCACTCTCAAGTGTCATTGTTAAGCCACATAAAGACATATTGTTATTATAGTGTGACACAATATGAATCTTGGAATGAACTTTTTTTTACTGCAGTCCAGATTCAATAGCTGCCGTACATCAATGTCTGTACAATATATTAGGCCAATATAGGTTTTTTGTTCACCATCATGTCAAAACAATCGGAAAACCTTCAATAAAATATTTTGAATGAGCCCATAGAAAATATTACTGTTAACTACTATACTACTACTCTGATAGGAGAATCAACCAAACCTTTCAATGCAATATGATGTAAAGTAATTTTATTTGTCTTGTCTCCTCAGATAAACCCTGATCTCATGTATGAAAACATCTCAGCTCAACATACAGAGCAGGATGACCATCACTACGGCAGACTTCACTTCTCTAAGGACCACACAGAGGATCTCTACTCCACCATCCAGACAGGGTCTTCTAACTGAACAAATTCATGTTTTTTTGCAAGAGGCCCTCCTGTGTTAGATTAAGTGGCTGGAATGACTTCAGTATCATAGCAGGGACAGACAAGTGTAAAGCTTAGTGTGAATATAATGCCAAGCACATACGTTTCTGTTGAACGCAATGGGAAACTGTTCTGTCTGATAAGCAGATTTCACAGTCACACTTAAAGGCTTCTAATCTCCAGCTTTCTCTAGAGGTGTGATGCAAGTGGACAGATATGTTGAATTTCTATTTATTACTAAGACTGTGTTAGTGAAGACATATTGCATTGATCAGTCTACTAATATGTCCGTCATAACAGATCACAAGGATTGTTTTCAAAGTTAAACCGAAGTGTTGTAGCTAAATGCAAGAAAAAAAAACATGTTTGGGTTTTATCCTGTACATCTCAGATATTTGTGTTTGTGTGTGTTTAGGTGTGTGTGTGTGTGTGTGTGTGTGAGTGTGAGTGTGTGTGTGTGTGTGTGTGTGTGTGTGTGTGTGTGTGTGTGTGTGTGTGTGTGTGTGTGTGTGTATTTTGTGATGATGCAGCTCTAAATAGAATACAGCTATTTTTGGCCTGACTGGTTGGCCACAGCTAATCTAATTATTGTCACACTCTGTGGCACATTTCTCTGCTCTCACTCCGACAACTTTAATAACTTTTGGATAAAAACTATAATGCCATTCACTGCTGCTGCATATTGCATGAAGACACAATGTCACTAATTACAAACTGAAAAAATAAAACAATAATTATGATTTTGATAAAATCCAAAAGTGAAAGAAACAACACCATGCCAACTTTTCAATGTCAAAGTGTGACATATAATAACTATTGCACCACATAGATTCTTCACTACAGGTCTTGTTTTACTAAGAATAATATTGAGGAAGGAAGTGAAGTTTAGGTGTCAGAGCTGCATGCAGTTTGTCTGACAGCCACCCTCACACTGACCAACAGTCCACTCTGTCTCTGTAAGAAGACTGCTGTTGATTTAGACCTTTCATTTAAATTACTTATGTTTTATGAGTTTTCATTAACACAGCAGTTGTAATAAGGTCATTAAATTATAAAATCAACTTTCTGATTGGAAGTTGAAGACTACGACAGCCATGTTGTTGGCAGAAGCTGGATGTGTGTTTATGGGTTTTATCCTGTACATCTCAGGTATGAATGACTGTTTATTCTTTCTTATATAATACTTATTAATTGTGACCTGGAAAATAAATTTAAGGTTTTTCGGGAATGTACAGTGCTGTAGGAGTTAATTTGTAGATAAATTAAAGGGAGATACATTAGATGCATTACAACATGAGACAGTATTATCAGTTAGTGATTAGTATAGAGAAGAATGTTATAAGAAGTATAAATCTGTCCAGATGTTTGCTAATAAAATCTTTTGTTAAAGGGGTTCAGGGACAGACAAAAAGGATCTGTGCCTTAAAAGGTTCATCAGTGAATCTGCCCTGCTCAGCTGAACATCCCACTTCAAGCATGAAATGGTACACTGCACACTGGAATGGATCTACACTTGTTCAGAATGAACTCTCTGTAGATGGAAACCGTGTAATGTACAAGCCTGAAGAAAATCATCCAACTCTAACAATCAATGATCTGAGAGAGAGTGATGCAAACTTTTACTGCTGCAGAGAGAATACTGACCAACCACAACTCTGCCGGTACAGTGTAATTCAGCTCAGTGTTTCAGGTAAACTGACAGTAAGTTGTCACTAATCATTACTTTAAGAATCTTAAAATATTATATATATGAAAACTCATTTCATTTTCCATTTTCTCAGACCTGCAGGTAAAGGTGATTCCTGCCACAGAGGGACAGACAGTAACACTGATGTGTAACACCAGCTGTCCTCCGACTGAAACCCCTGCAGCCTACATCTGGTACAAGAACAGAGAGTTTCTCTATCAGGACTGGTCTCCCTGGTACCAACAGCTGGTCAGCAGTAAGGAAGCAGTCAGATACTCCTGTGCTATCAAAGGCTACGAGGATCTCATAGCCCCGGAAGTCTCAGTGGGTGAGTGACAACATTTAGCTTCTTATCATGTGACAAAACCTTTTTATACATATCTTAATATAGGAATAATGTCATTATCAGGCACTGGAAGCTTAAATTATAAAGCTCATGAAGTACTGTGACTGTGTACACCACTCTAAATAATGTATTACATTTATTTTTGTCCAGATTCTGTCACATCAACCTGCTTTACTGTGACCTACGCTAAAGGGAGAATGTGTTCTCATAAGCAGACATCAGAGGATGAGCCCTGCTCCATCACATATCCAACAGGTTAAGTTTCCACAAACAAACACACAAACACTCCTCTCACCCTCTTACCCTCACACCTTTAATGTCTTTTTCACAGAAGCAATGAGTGAGTAAATCTATCACTTATTTTAACTGTTCACACTGTGATATCTTTACTTTCTTGAAAAACAAATCTATTTTTACTTCCTCATTGGCATGCAGAGTTATTTTTTTGTGTGCTAACCAGGGTTTCAGAGTTTCTATTCAACAATTAATGTAACTGAGTAATTAAGTTATACACTTAACAACATGTTACAATAACTAATGAAAAGCATTTCTGATCTCCTAACAGAAGTACATAGAGTTCAAAAGACTCCTGAATGGACCTATGTCAAACTGACCTGTCACACCAGCTGTCCTCTGACTGACTCCCAAACTGCCTATAGGTGGTACAGTGATGGATACTTTTACATATACACTGAGAGTCAACAGTTGTCAGTTTCCCGTTCCTCTGCTGAAAGCTTCTCCTGTGCTGTAAAAGGCCTCGAGGATCTGCTCTCTGCTTAAGTCTGTGAGTATGAGCACATTAACGAACTGTGTGGTCTGTTTTAACTTATGGGACTTTGGTGTCATGAATATGAACACATGAAAGGCAATAAGAAATATCATGATGTGACTGATGATGCATAAAGGTTGATAAAATAACTCAAACACTGTTTAATACATTATTTGATTCAATATAGAAAACAGTAAATATTTCATAACTCTTTTTTTCTGTGTGCATCCGAAATAGAAAATGAGTGTTTCCTGTTTCTCATCAAATCATGAAGTAAACTGTGTGATGACTTGTAGCCACTAGATGTCAGTCAGAGAAAACATGATCATTGTCTTGTCAAAAAAAAACTATTCATGAAAGTATAAAATTGACAAATCGGGTTGAGTGAACAGTTCCACAACTATTGTATTATAGAGTATACAGACAATTATTTTTACAATTTTTACAAAAAAACATTTTTTTGACTCTCAGCGCATTTGAGTTGATGTGCAGCGACGACCATGACTGAACGTGTATGCTGAGAGTGAAAAGGTGCAGAAATCTACAAAATAAAATAAAAAAATAGACTTATTTCTTTGTCCTGGTTTTCTTGTTTGTTGACTTATCCAACTCAAGATAAAAAAAAACAATTCTTTTTCTGATAATCACAAATATCAGAAAACCTTTATTTCTTATTTTTTTATTAATAATACTGAGACACACTTCGTAGTAGATAAATGAGTAATTATATCCAAGCCTCAACATTTATTTTAGAAAATATATTTTATCTATATTCCAGGTTCTGAAGATAACAACTGTTGGACTGTGAATTACATCAGCAGGAGAATCTGTGCTCTACAAGGCTCTTCAGTGAACATTACAAGTGAATATTCTTATCCCAACAACCAGCTGCCACAGTCTAAATCTTGGTTTAAAATAACAAGAAGTGGGAAGCAAGAAGTTAAAGAGCTGATTAAACCTGCAGGTCATGTGGAGTATTATGACTACATGAAGAATCACCACATCCTGAGAATCAATAACCTGAAGAAGAATGACTCAGCAGAATACACATTCAGACTCCAACGACAAAATGGAGGATGGAAACAGTCTGATTCTCCTGGAGTGACTTTGGTTGTCACAGGTAATTCTGTAGAATGAATACAATGCACATGGTACCAGTGTCATTGTAAACAATGGTTTTGTGTGTTTTTTTTCTTGTTTATGTTTCATGGAGATCTTAAAACTTCTTAAAACTTGCAGTCTGAAAATGCTTCTTCCTACAGGTTTAAAAATTAGCACAGTCAATAGTTGTTGTTTTTTGTTCCTTTTGATAAACAAATGTCCTCTCACAGTAGCAATGGAACACAACTAGCAAGTTTTGTTCGATCACTTCAAAAAGTTTAGGTTTTTTTTTTTTTTTGGTGCACAAAACTGTGACTTTGACAATGGATTGAATATAGAAATTGTTGTTTTTAGAATGAGCTGTTTCTTTGCACTGACCCCACGAGTCGCCTTCCATGGAGTCCACCATGTTGAACTGCCATGTTTCTACAGTAGTCCAGAAGAGACAAACCAAACACTGGCTCTAGAAAGCAGTGTTCACATTTTGTTGTTTTTTTTGCTACCACTGTAGTTTCTTCTTCGCATCTAGAAAGGGAGGGTGAAGTGACGGAGTGGTACTCCGCTATCATACTGCTAGAGGCCTTTAAATCTTTTTTTTCTTCAGTTTTGAGGACTGACCAATCTAACCACCTTTCAGGTCTGGAAGTGAAGTTTACTCCTTCTGCAGTGGTGACAGAGGGTCAGAGAGTCACACTGACCTGCAGTACCAGCTGTCCTCTGACTGACAACACAAACTACATCTGGTACCTGAACAGTCGACCTCTGACCCTGCCAGAGAACCAGAACAAGCACCTGGTTCTAGACCCAGTCAGCAGTCAGCATGCAGGAAACTACTCCTGTGCTGTCAAAACCCACAACAACATCAGCTCTCGTGAAAAGACTCTCACTGTCCACAGTAAAACAGGAAAATGGACACCAGCAGCAGCTGCAGGAGTCGGAGCTGTTCTCCTGGTTATAATACCTCTCACTGTCTTCTGCTGGATTAGGTGAGCAACACTGTCTCAGAGCAATGATGTTCAAACATTCATTGACAGACTAACCTGACATCACCTATTCATTTTTATATTCACCCATTTCATTAACCAGAAGAAAAAGGACATCCAGCCAGTCTCCAAGAATAGAAACCTCAGACAACCTGGAGCAGGTAAAGAAAATAATCTGAATCACCATCTTCTCTCTTGCTTCCCTTCAGAATAAAACACCAGCTTCAACTCACAAATAACATTTAAATTTTTTTTAACTAAATTTGTTCTTCTGGTGATAAAGAAAATAGATGTATCTTTTTCTACAGCAGTCCGTATTAAGCCAATAACTTTTCTATTAGACATCTACTAGTCGTGATCTCTTTATGCCTGTAAAAGCTGACACACAATTCAGTTTTCTCTGCACAATTGTTTTAAAAAAAAACATTTTTGATGAACTCTTCTAACTAAGGTATCCATGAGCTGTTGTGCTAAACTTCCCCTCCAGTTGAGCCCTACTTAGAATCATTTTATACAGATTTGCTCAGGAGAATCAGTTAAAACTTTAAATTCAGTGTAAACAAGTATTATTTATCTTGTCTCTTCATCAGCTAAACCCTGGCCGTGTGTATGATGAAATCTCAGCTCAACCAACAGAGCAGGATGATCTTCACTACAGCGAAGTCTGCTTCCATCAGAACCACGCAGATCCTCTCTACAGCACAGTCCAGCCACATCAGCCTCAAGAGGAAGTCCCCTATGCTGTTGTCAACATAAGACCCAACACGACACCTGAGTGAACATCTCTTGCTATTACATCTCATTCAGACTCTATTTGAAGGATGTACTGTAAGAATGATGTAGCCCATTACAGGTTGGGCTATATCAGAAATAATTAAGTGATGTCTGATTAGGTTTTTTTTTTTATTTTATTTTTTTTTTTATGGGCTAATCTAAAATTGTTTAAATCGACTGGATCAGGAGATTTGGACTATGGCAGTGCTGTACATTAAGATGCTGCGGCCGGTTGGAGAACTCCTTTTCTGTTATTGTTTGAAATCAGCTTTCGGCTTTACTGCTGAAACACGTATCACCTAAGGCAGGAATAGCCTGCAGTCATTGTAAAAGGAAACATGGGGTTCGGATTAAAGAGCAGCAGACTTTGAGATGATCCACCCAGCCAGATCAATGGGACCAGCTCCACCACAGCGGGTGCTGTCACTCCAGTAAGAGAGGGAAGAGAGTTGGATAGTAGCCATGCTGGCCCAGCTTGGACTTAAGGCTGCTGATCGTGTTCCAAGTCGACGTAGCACAAGATGAGTAGAGGCGGACTCTGTGTTTGCATCAATGATACTCTGTGCTCAAACGCAGTCAAAGTGGACTTTTTTTCACCATCTTGTTGCTGCTGTTTACTTTGCCCCAGATGTAAATTCAAATGAGGCACGCAGAATTATTTCCTGGGTGTATATGTGTATATATAGGTATATAAATAATTGTATTTTATTTTATGTTATTATATGAAATTGATTATCTTTTGTGTAGCATGAAGGACCTGCAAACGTTTATTATACAACCTTGATGTTGTCCCAGTTTACTTGATTGATTGATTGATTGATTGATTGATGATACTTTAGTATATTTTGATAAAACATTTCCATGTTGGGATGGTGATGATTGACAAAATTCAAGGGTACTTATACACATTTTCACTGAGCACATCCCCGATCTGATTCAACTTGAAGGGCTGAGGAACTGGGTTACAGATGGCATACTTACTTAAAAGGTTATCATCCAACCTGTTTTTTAAATATTTTGTGACATTGGATGCCTAGAATCTGTATAGCAAATAAACGTAAAGCGACTGAATGTAACAACACACCTGTTGAATATTTTTCTGCTCATCATCTCTGCCTTGCACTTATATTTAGGGGCTTCAGTTGATGAGCTTATCGACGCCATGACTTTTGACTTGAGCAGACTTTCACAGTGTCAACATACAAGAAGTGGACACACAATACGCAGCCACAACAACCCTTCAACAAATACCATTTCTGTGGAATTCTATTTATATCAGTTCAAATTTATCAGCAGTACTATTATTATCCTAAGACTCATTCACACCTCATATTTCTGAGGGATGATTTGTTAAGTACATAAAGAATATATTAAAGGTCATAGTTAGTCTGTGTACTAGTGCACAGGACAGGCAATGAAAACTCAAAGGTTCTATATGTAGTTATTTACAAATTGTGAAAGGTGCAGAGCATATTCTATACCCTCGTAATGTTAGTTAAAACTTTATTGGATGGAAGTAACGTTACGTTATTTGGGCTCCTGCTAACCATATTAGCTTTAGCTGAGTAATGGTCATTTTTGAGAGAGAAAGCAACATGAGTGAACCTTTTTACAGTTGAATTATGGATTGTTTAATAGCTACAGTAATTAATTAATAAAATATATGGAAGTAGTCAGACCCGTCTTGAATCAAATTAGTGCCACAACAAAAGGAACAACAGATGCAAGTTTTGTCCATATTAATATATTTTATTACCATACCAGTATACACCTCAGTATTTAATTCAAATACAAAAAACATAGGAAATAATTTGTAACCTTTAGTTTATGTTGTGCAAGTAGCAGTGGGTCTTATGTTTCTTTGTCCTTCAAGTAAGTTGAAAATTCTAGTTTTCATGTCCAGTTTGATAGTAGAGGCTGTAACAGTGTAAAGTGTGCAAGCAAGTTATCACTGTGTTTAAACTTAAATATCATGTTTAATGAGTAGACAGTAAAGGCATGACAATGTGTTGTAGAGAAGAGAAAGGTACATATTTGGGTCCCAGACAGACATAAGGCAGAACTGGTTCGTCCGAGCTGTGCTACAGTATACTGCAGTTTCTGCAGCGGTACTGTAGGGTCCCTTTGATCATATGGCCTTACGGAAACTGTCAGTATATTCAGTGCCACTGTAGCTACTCTGGTTAAAAAAATAAATAAAGGAACAAGAGAAGGAGGAAGGAGGAGTCAGTACTTTTATCACAACCAATTCAAACTGCATTCAAACTATCTGTTCCTCAACACAATGGAAAGTGGGTGGGCGACAGTCAGTCTGTGCTTTAGTTTGATCTGGTTGGTGCTACTTCCTCCCACATTTCTCTTGTATTCACATACTAAAGAAGGGAATAGTTTACGCTCTCATTTACTGATTTATATACAAAACTTGAACCATGATAGTGATAAGGTCAGTGATAAGGTCACATGATGCTACATTATTTGCCTTCCAACAGGCTCTGTTAAGTCAGTTGTATTTTTTGTGTTAGTTTTCACTGTCGGTTTTGTTTCCCGTTTGCTGCTGTGTGCTGTCATTTCAACGTTAATATGAAAGTCATTGTGGTCATGTCGTCTCAAGCAGTTTGTCTTAAAGAAAGAGCACACCAACACAGACGTTACAGTCTTGAATCAGACACATGGCTCACTAATCTTTGTGCCCCGTCCAGTCACTCTTGTCTTTGACTTCATTCAGAGGACTCTCCTCTGCTCTCATATTCTCCGTCTCTTCTGCTCTCATAGTGCCATCTTCTCTCGTAGCCTCTCCTTGTGATTTTCCTCTGTTTTCAGTTTTCGAGTAGCAGCTTTGCCAGGGACTGGAGGGTTTCTCTATTCTCGTACAAGTACATCTGGGTTTCCCACAGCATGTCCACCAAGACTGCGTCGCTCACCTCATCCAGCATCACTTCCTGAGACAACTGGGGACTCAATCTGCACAGAAGACAATAAACACAGTGATTTGTGAAGAGTTTCAAAGTCTTTTATAAATAATAAAGCAATATTGGATAATGAATAATTGAATATAAAGTGCTATGCATAGCTCAAGTGGCTTGAGTGGATTCATTAACTCATTAAACTGGACTTGATATGACTGCAGAGAATGATCAGACTGTTGAGGGTTAAAATCCTATGTGAAGGCACGTGTTGTTTTCCTTCCTCTCTGAAGCTGTCAGGTGGTGTATCTCCACATCTACACAATTAAGCCTGATTGCAAATTATCATCATTACTGATAGAAATACCGGCTTCAACTATGAATGGGAGGGCCTCAAAAGCTCACTTTGTTCTTCATATGCATGTTAATGTATTTGCTGAACTGACAGGTGCCTCAGGCTATGACAATTAAGCTCAGATTCCTATGTAAGTTTTCTCTTTTAACTGACAGGCTGACAGTGTGAGCAGTCAAAAATGTTTTACTTTTTGCCAGCCAACACTGCACAGTGCTATACTTGTCTCATTAAAGACAACGTAATGGTGTGAAACACAACAAAGAAAGTGCGTGCAAATGTGAGAAACAGAGAGAAATGGGCAAAAAGGGAGATGGAGAGACAAAGATGATTAGTCTGAAAAACTGATGAGGGCAGGTTGAATCGGAGACAGACAGCGGGGGTAGCAGTAAAAGAGAACCAGTCAGCTGACCTGTGGTAAATGGTGTCGATCATTTCACACCAGGCTCTGGCTCTGTCCACTGCACAGCCATCAGAGTCTGTACACTGTTCAGTCAGAGAGAAAGTGAGAGAGAATTATTGACTCAAAGACCCTTTCTGAAAAAAAAGTTGTTACTGGTTATTAAGTCTAATATTTCAGGAATGTTAAAAGGCTCCACAAAAAGTGGAAAAATGGAAAAGACAACTCTGGATAAATCAATATAAAAAAAAATTATAGTTTCAGTGTAGAACTGTGTTATGTGTACTCACACAGTCCACCAGCATCTTGCCTAGCTCTTTGGCTCCTACGAAGCTCTTGGCCAGCTCCAGAGGGTTGGAGGGTCGGAAAACATCCACGGAGCTCACCACCACCTGAGGAGGTTTACCTGGAGATACACAGGATCAGTATGTGAATTTAGATTCGTACAGGACACCTCGGATAAACAGAATTCACCACATTACATATCACAGATGTTGCATGGCACATTTAATTAGACATAAAATACATTTCCAAAGTCGGAACACTCTTTGCCAGGACAGTGAGATATAAGGTGTAGAGGGATAGGGAAGAATAAAGGATCCGATCCGATCATTTCATATTGCCAATATCTGCCAATACCGAGTCCTGATCCGATACATTAAGATACTAAGAACTTAAGTTCACAGTGCACACTTCAAGTGCATTAAAGTTATTAAAATCAATCTAATGTATATGTTTGACACTTTATTAGCTCTGCATTGCATCAGGAACAAAAGCTGTTCCTTAATGTTTTTATTTTTTTATTTTACAAAATAAAAGCATGAATAATAAACCCTCTGTAATCTGGCTTGTTGGCCTTTACCTGAGTTACTGAATGAACTGAACTTTATTTTCGACTTTACATCGTTTGCATGGATTACAATAATTATGGGTTGCACTATGCATGAAAGCTTTAGAAGTAAAAACAAAACAAAGTAAAACAAAAGACTGGACTGGATCAAAAAAGCTCTATATAGCCGACACCGATCAGTTGAGATCAGATTGGGAAATCTCTAAAATGAATACATACAAATTTAGTCAAAATAGTAGTACAAATATGTATGTACCTACATTATGTGCATAGACATAATGAAAAATAATATACCAGCAGAGACAAACTGATTATGGGTGATACACAACACATTCAGATTCACAAAGTGACCCTACATAAAATAAAAGATTAAATGCATTATTTGCCATTTTCAGACACAATGAAGTAGCTTACCTGTACCAAGGGAGACCACTATACCTAACTTCTTGGTTCCCTTTCCATGGACCTGAGACGGAGGAGGGTTTAAAAAAAAAAAAAAAAAAAAATGACAGATAAAAATAAATGCATTAAAAATCAGTTAGTGATTGAATGGCAACTTAATGGAAGAGCATGGGAGAAGTTTCCTACCTCTGCTTTTAAGGCTTTATTGTACTGATGGATTTCCGACATGGCGTCTAGCGTCGGGTTATTGGCCAGTAGCCCTCCATCCAGAAAGCGGCCCATTGGTCGGAAGTAGGTGGGGGCAGCGCCGCTGGAGCGTGCAGCTCGCCACACAAGTTGTTCTAGTGTAAAAAGAGGGATATAAAGATTTAAAAAAACGCATGAAACAATTATTAAAATACTTTTATTCTGGGTCAAGGCTAGCTTGTTAGTGCTCACCATTAATTAATATTCATCAATGCAGAAAAGGATCATGGGCTGAACCATTTTTTTTATGTTGCTGTGCTATTACAATAAATTATACATCAGTATAGAATCACATTAAGAGGAAAAGTTTGACATTTCAGGAAATGTGATTATTCGCTTTCTTACTGAGAGTGAGAAGAGAAGACTGATGCCACTCTGCATGAATGATGTTACCGGCAGCTGTCAGTAGTGAGCAGCAGGCTAACTTAGCTTAGCATAAAGACTGGAAACAGGGGGAGACCGAAATAACAGCAACTCCAAACCTAACGTGTAAGTTGGTGTAAGCGGTATCAATCTTCTCTCTTCTAATCAAACTCGGCCAAAAAGTGTATTTCCCAAAATGTCAAACTATTCCAACATGGGAAAATGGGAATTTGTGGTACGTAGTCAAAAAACTGTGACAGACAAAATTACATTATTGTGAACTGGTTCCTTTCAAATGTTTACTGTCTCTCACTCATACGGACACACACCTTCATCTGTCATCTTGCTACGCTTTCTGGTTGGTTCCTCTGAGAATCCTACTATCAACACATCCTCATCCTCCCATCCTGGAACAACAACATGGCTGTCACTCAGACAACACAGTGGAACTGGACTTGTTCAGGAATACGATGACGTGCAAATCCAGATGCAGGCTTTGATAATGTTAGGCTTTTTAAGGTTTCATTTCCTGAATGGAATGAGAACTTGGTGTTCTTATACTGTTGAGATTACCCAATCCCAGAATGTAAAGCCACCAAGTGTAGGGTTTGAAAACGGCTTACTTTCACACCATCCAGTGGTAGTATTAGTGCACTGCATTACCCCTCCAATACAACGTTAGAGCACCAGTGCAGTAGTGTAACACACAGAATTGGCTCCATTTGTAAGTACCTTGTGGGATGGTGAGAGGCTTGAATGTGGCAGTGGTGGCGTATGGGGGCTCTCTGTGGACGGAGGGAGGGTCATAGTTCCTGAAGATGTGCAGCTCGCCTGGATGTCTGTCTGCTAGAACACTGGTCACCATCACCCTGTACAGAAACAAAGCGGAGAATAGAGTAATCGTTTGACAGTGTAGGGGTGAGTATGCAGCATTTGTGCTCATAAAAAAAAGAGGTTTGACTTCTCTTTAAAAACTGAAAACCCCATACTGCAACAGACCAAATGACAACAAAGTATTTTCAGTTGTTTCAGAGCACTTGCACACAATTTCTAAGCAGCCGAAGATTTTTTTCCAAAGTAATGAGGCTTTTTGTAGCAACCCAATCCACCACTCCAAGGTAAAATCTGCTTGAATTTTCAAAGCTGCACTGCACTTGACAAAATATTTTTTCTCAAACTAACTAATCACAGCAAGGAAGTATCTATCTAAAGCTGGTTGATGTCATTTTTACCAACAGCAGAAATATAGGAAAAACACACATAACCTCAGGAAAGAAATAGTACTTTATGGGAACTCACACTGAATCTTTTTTTCACTCTTTAATTCGTATGGGTTTTATATTTGCATACTTTCTGGAGGTACCATAGTACTGGCTTACACAATCAGCATGCTAACATTTTACCATTTGCTGGTGAGTACATTAGAGAAGAAGAAGCCTGATGCGTAGTGTACACATTCAACAAGAACAGTTACCTGGGGTATCGGACATCTGTCATCTTGGTGTTCTCTCCAAACTCTTTTTTCAGGAAGTCCTCCAGTGGTGCTGATTCATAAGGTCGTGAACCCTTGAACACCTGCTCCTTCATCCTAAAGTACAGGCAGCGCAGATACTCCATGGACTTACCTACAACACAGAAGAAACGTCATTGATGTTTTAATTCCACGTTATAAAAATATGTGAAAATAAAAAGGGGAAATGCATACGCACCATGTATTATAGCGAGGGCCAGGATGCCCCCAGTGCTGGTGCCTGCCACCCAGTCGAAGAGCTCTCTGGTGGGCCGACCGGCCTCTCTCTCCAGAGCAATTAACATCTGGATCAACACCAGGCCTTTAATACCTCCCCCATCCAGACACAGCAGACTGTCCATCCTGCAGAGAAGAGAAGAGAGTTATTTGTGTGTGTTTTATTGTCTCCAGAACTGCAATATTCACAAGTTTAGAAGCTTCTTACTCACTTTTTTTTCTCCATTCTGTGGCCGTCCACTTCAGACGCGCCTCTGCTCATTGCACTGAGTGCAGCCCCCACATACATGATGTCCTCAAACCCTGTTAGAACATTACAATAGCTATATTCATATGGGATCAACACATGGCATCAAATTCATGCATGAGGGATGAAAAAGAAAAGAGGCTACTGGGTTTCCTACAAGCCACAAGGGAGCCTCTAGATATAGTTTCACTGTCTGGAAAAAATATTTAGTTTCATATAATGACATTTGCTTTATTCATGGAAGCTTTCCAAAAACAAATTGAGCCAAGTGTAGAAAGAATCATACAAATAATTCAACTAAACTTCTACTGTTATCACTATCAATACACTATTAGTAGTATGTTGCTCATAAAAAGTGTGTGGAACCAGGGCTCTTTCAGTTCTGATGCATCAGAATAACATCACACCTTACGACTGGTTTCACAGAAAACTCAGATGTTGTTGGATCATTAATATGGCTCAAGTCATAATTAAAGTTTTTTTTACCTATAGTATGACCAATACAAATGAGCTAATCTGTTAACAATCTGTCATTATATATACATACAAGCACTGGATGAGATCTGTTACAAACTGTTCAAAGTGTAAAATGTTCAGTAAAAAAAAAAAGAATAATGTAGAGTTATAGAAAATGACAAACAAAAAGGGGAGGGCAGAAGTAGGGATGGTGGTGTTACCTATGCCTGGAGGCTTGGCCTTGTTGGAGATGGGGGAAGGAGTGCCAGGGGAGGGTGGGAGGCACCGCTGGACCCCTACACTACACAGCATGTCCAGCAGTATCTTTCTATTAGGACCTTTCATGTTAACACAAACACACACACACACACACACACACACACACACACACAAGCAAGGCAACATGTTAGACATGCACACACACCACAACGAGCAGGGAGAAAGAATAGAGAGATAGATAGAGAGAGAGAGAGATAGGAGGAGATGGAGAGAGAAAGTAAGAATGTGAGCGAGCTGTTAGCAATTATCATGCATTTTTAAAATCAATACATGTTAGCAACTTCTTTTACCACCACTTCTGCTTCAGAGCATCAAGTGAGGGATTTCATACACAATCATCTCTATGTGCAACAACAAATATGCTTAAGCAATAATCTTGTGTTTGAATAGACTCACAAATTCAGGAGGTTCTGATGTTTAAGAAATTAAAGTGAAATTTCAAAACATTTAAAATATCATTCTTTTTAAAAGGAATTAAATTATACAGCCAGTGCTTTATATCACTTGCTTGGGACTGCTGGCACAGTCTCAAGCCAAAATGCACTAAAAGTGAATCTGACATACATCATACTGACATGATTCACCGCACTACAAATAGAACAGTTAACGTGTCAAAGAAACAACTCAACCCATCCAATTAAAATTTTAAGACCTGTCAATCATATTTTAGACATTTTAGGGCCATATCTCATTTTACTATATATGGCAGTGAAATCTTTTTTATTGCATCTTTAAAAGATGGTGGAAGCTTTCTAACCATGTTGCTTCTAAACAGTCACAAAACAATGTATTAGTCGCAGGAGCTGTAAAACAGGATTTAACGTACTGACACAAGAGACTAACGATTGCAACCATTTTCATGCAGTAGCGTTACCGTCTACAGTGGAACACATGCATTTAAAGGAGACTAACTGTTAACATGGTATTATAAAGTTCAAACTGGCCTGTTAGGTCAAGCATTTTAAGTTCCATAAACCCCATGACTATTCCATCCTCCCTGTCTTCATTAAATTCAGCCTCCGGTGTACACACCCTTGCCCTCTTGCCTCATCTCATCTCCTCTCTCTCACAGTTTAAAGCTCTCTTTTCCATCGTTCACTCTTTCTCTTACCTTTGCTGGTGCGAGCAGCGATGAGTCCAGGTGTTTCTCCGAGGTCGTTGTGGATCTCCACATCAGCCCCGAACACAATCAGAGCTTTGATCAACTCCATGTGGTCCATCTAACGCACAGAGAGTAAATGGTGCAATGATATATATTTAAACAAACAAAACTAAATAATAATAAAATGAAAAATACACACTCTTTAAGATGTCATCAATCTGTCACATTCCATATATATTTAAAAACTGTTGTAATGTAGTTTTCTGGTATATCCATTTAAATTTTGTTTTAATACATAAATAGCATAGTTAACAAAAATGTTTTCGGTTGAAACAAGAAAAGTTGCTATTCAAGAAATGTCAGCAAGAACTACTCATACCAAGAGAGAAAGACAGCATGCTGGCCATTACAGGCAAGCAGGTCTTTGAAGTATATCCTAACGCTGCATGTGTGATGCAACCCGATTTCCCTATTGGCTGGGATTTTAAAACCGCTGTAATCTTTTAGTATTATGCCTCTCTTGCTAAAACTGTGTTGCAACAACTTTGCAAAAACCTTAACTAGACATTCCCCTTCCCTTTCGTGAACAATCTGATGATAGGAAAGAGATTATTGCTTTCATCTGGAAAATAAGAGCAAGGCACAGTCTTGTACACACACCTTCATAGCTAGGTGCAGGGCTGTGTTTCCATCCTGGCCCTTCAGGTTGGCGTTCCCTCCGTGGGTGAGCAGCACCATAGCCGCCTCGAAGCGGCCCTTCTTTGTCAGAATATGGAGGGCGCTCTCTCCGGTCTTACTGAGGTAGTTGACTGCACAGCCATGTTCCAGCAGCATGCGACACATCTGGCAAAGAGAGCGGAAGAATTATTTAAACATCAGCTTGATATTTACCCTCATATGTTAAGCTAGTCTTTCTTAAATCCTCCTGACGCATTTCTAATTCCAAACATGAATGTCTTGGTTTGGTAACCCAGAGCATCCACAGCAACCCAATTACAAGGCAACTTTCACTGGCTGGGAGTTGTGACATACATTTGTGTAATAGTTGCTTGAACTCCAACTGGTTGACCCCAAGGTCATAAATTAACTGCTGTAACATCAAAGTTTTAATTAATTAATTTCTCTGGATGTATACTATAGGATACACAGATGTACTGTAACTCAAACCACTCATTATGGATCTCTAACCACAAAACACTGATGTCATATTTTTCACCTCAGCAGTTTTGGCCCAGTGCAGAGGTGTCCCACCATACAAAGAGTCCTCAGCGTGGACCTGGCCTGGGTCCGCTTTGAGGATCTCCTCCACACAGCTGACAGTCAAACACAGAAAAGAGGACCATTTAGTATATATTAACTGAAGTAACACATTCGATATCTATGATATAACAAACTTTCACAGTATCCATGCTGTTTTACTTTGTGAGAAGTTTAAGCAACCCATCAAAGAGGATCTAAAATCTCTGTGTGAAATGAATTTGGCAGTCTCAGAGGCACAATGTTGGTTAATATACTTGTCTGATTTGACTTAATGAACTTGTCTGAGAGGTTCTCTCCAGAATTATTAATCATTTTTACTCTCATGGACTTATCCCAAGTTAATAAACCTGGAGGTATACTGCAGAAAGTGTTTATGTACACCTAGAGGTATATTTAAAAAGGAGACAGGGCAGCAGGGTAACTAGGGTAACTGTTACTAAGACTGTCCTGGACTGACAGTCTGTAGGTTGTTCCTTACAGAAACCCGCAGTCAGGACCCCACACAGCAGATAAGAAACTGCTCCGTGTTGCGAATCGTCGTCCTCATCTTTACCCCTACTCACCCCTTCTCGCTGTACTTCATGGCACTGTGGATGGGGTAGCCAACGCCACCGATGACATCACACTTGGCCCCTCCCCCCAACAGAGCTTTCACAGACTCCATGCGTCCCAGACGGCAGGCCACGTGGAGCGGCGTCTCCCCGTTGCTGTTCAGCTCATTCACGCCGGAGCACAACCGCGAGCACAGGACCTGAATGAGGAAAGGAGGGAGCGATGGACGACAGCATGGTGGGCGAAGTGGAAGGAGAGAAAATTATGTTACTACGCAGTTTAGAGGACATGACTCCTTCATTCATTCGGAAATGTAACTGTGAGTTCACCGAGTCTCACCTGGATGATGGCGGGAGAATCCTGCTTGGCTGCAAAGTGCATGGGCGTCTCTCCATTGCGGTCTCTGATGTCGGTGCGAGCCTGACTTTCGTCCAACAGCTCCTTCACACACACCGAGTCGCCGCGCTCGCACGCCAGGTGCATCGGCGTCTGACCTGCTGCATCCCGAGCATTGATCTGACTGGAGACAGAAAGATGACGTGACCACACAGGTCGCATTCAAGAGAAGATCAACTTTCACTTCAAATGTCTTTTTCATGTTGTTCGTGTTTTCTCGTTGTGTCTCCGAGCTGAAATGTTCTACAAGAACACTGGTTTCAGTTTATTTGAGGAGTCCCCGTACAGATAGTTTACAGTATTGGAAACATTTTAACAGCTTATTAGTTGAGATTAAACAACCATTTTACAGATATTACAGCCCTGTGGTTAAGGGTTAGGCACCAACATCTTGGTTAGGTTATGTTCATGAATTGTCAGATATATATAGATCTACAGGCAAAGCAAAACTGTTGAAATTTGAATTAATACTTTATAAACTATCTGTAGGAGGAACATTTGTGAATGCTTTTTGGAAGACTCTCACATTCTTGTCCATCTGAGACTTTTAGCCAAACTTTGAACACAAAATATAGCAACTACATGTTTCTATTGTGAAATATTGCTGACTCTCTCTCAAGTAGTTTTCAAATGCAAGTTGATTATCACACTGTACTGAACTTAATGAAAACTAACTGCTGCATAGCAGATGGGTAGGTCAATGCAAATGATTTGCAGATAGCAAGCTAAAACCTGAAAGGATTTTAAAGCCCTGTTGTCATGAACTAATTTTAAATAGTTAAGTGTTTGTTGCCATGTATGCATTCAGCTGGCGGCCTCACAATTACTGCCTCACATTATAAAGGTATACACATTATTATATTCTCTTTATTCAGCGTTATCCTGAAGCACTTATCTCACTGTTTCGAGCAAGAAATGTTTGCTTGTTAGTCAATTCATTCCAGAAACAATTTTGATTATCATTTAGCAATAACAAATGATTGTTGCTCACAGCTGATAAGACCTGCTTGATCCTTTTCTCTGTTATCCTTGTTAAATGAGTACGTTGTGGACTGTTGACGCAGAAATTCTAAAATGTAATTTGCATTGTCATTAAACTGTCACAAGCACAAGCATTTAGCAACAGCCGATCACATGGAAAAAGCACTTCCTGTCTTACCTCTGGACATAGTTATGTTTGAGACACTCTCTCAGGCCTGTCTCCACAGCAATGTGAGCAGAACTCCAGTCCGGGTGGTTGCGGATGCAGTCCACAATTGGCTGGGTGGTTTCAGCCTTCAGAGGAAGTGTCTCATAGAAGGGCCGAAGCTTGAGGGCATATTGGGGGAACAAGTTCATGGCGTCCTCTTCTGACGCCACCTGAAACAGCCTGAATCACACAGTGGAATAATAACACAGCCACATTTCACAAGAAAATCTGAATGAGAGTCAAAAACTCTGGGAATGTGTAATACTGCTACAAAGGGCAGATAAAAGAACAAAGAACAAACAAGAACTTTCAGGTTTTAAAAGTGGCTTTGACAATTCTCTGCACACACATATTCAGTGTATTTTTAGAATTTGCAGGGATTTCTAATGTTTGCTATGTTGCAGGGGTATTGTGTACATTAAACACAATACCCCTGCAACATAGCAAACATTTTGTTTCGGTTTTGGCATGCTGCAACAACTTCTTATCGTCACTGATTAACCCTGCTTTCCAGATATACGGCTGAATGAACCAGCGCTGGCTCATTCAAGATAAAAGGCTTTGTTGGGCAATGACTGAGGTCAATAGTGGTCTTAGCTAATTCAATATGTCAAAGGCTGAAATAAATCTGCAGAGGGTCATAGAATCTACTAGCAACCACTAAAAATCTGCATCTTTTAAATGCGACCATTTCAGCTGACATCTGCCAATTGAAATCTAGTTGCATGGATGCATAATACAAATGACACACATCACACCTCTCTCTGTGTGTGTGTGTGTGTGTGTGTGTGTGTGTGTGTGTGATGTGATCAATACTGACCTCAGAGTCATAGTGGGCATCTCAGGGCACATAAGCAGACAGTCCCATGAATGGCACTGGGTGTTTTTGTACAGGACCATGCGTCCCTCCTCCTTCAGCATGACTTTGCCTCCTCCTCGGTAGTCGGACAGCGGCACATCCCTGACCCGGTAGGGGTTGGTGAAGAGGGTTGAGACAGAGGAGACTGTGTCCAACAGCCGGCCTAAGAACTGCATTGTCACCTAGGACAAAGCACAGCGAGCTTAGGGAAGACACAGACAAACCCACAGCACTGTCTGTCTCTATGATATGCAACTATAAGACAAGAGGTTATGGCAGCCCATGAAGAAATGTTAAACTCTCTGTGTCAGCTCTGTTTGGCAGCCTGTAGGATTGTTTTCAACATTAATGAATAATTTATTTTACCCCCAGGACAGGACTCAAGACTAGCAACAGGTGTAACATCCCCAGATATTACATATTATGGCTGCTGACGGTCTGTAATGTGTTGTTAGATTAGTGTAGTAATCAGTAAGTAAGCATTATAGATAGTTATACTATCTTTACCAGCTGGGCTACCACTTTAGTTGACTACTCGGGCTCACTGTCAACTCCCCACTTCCTATCACACTCCAACAGGCTCCTTCTGATAATGAAAAACAAGACTGTTCCTCATTTAAATGATGAATAAGTTCATTCATGCTGCTCACGAGTTCCTAGTTTTACACGATCAATTTGATACGTGACATCAACGCTGCAAGCCAGAGGCAGCAAATAAAACCCTTTAAACTAGTTATTTTAATATAAATATCCCCAGTAATCATCTATGCTACGGTTAACTACCTGCCAAGTGAAGCTAATCGCGTTAACTCGTATAAAAAGCAGCCTACCGCCGTCCGTCCACGGTTACCTGCTAGCTCTCCTCGCCGTTGGATGACTTCTGACAGAGACATCAACAACCGCGAGACTGCAGCCAACCTTGCTGGAAAATCTTGACTGACGCGGGTTGCTCCAATCAGAGCTCAAGAATCAGACGTCGATAGGTAAAAAAGAGGGCGGGGTGTAATACGTGCTCGGGTTTTTTTTCTTAACACTGGAAAGTCCCACCGACACACAGAGGAGCTTTCTCAGTACAACACCGCCGCACACACACGTTGCGCTGCTCTATTCCTCTTATAACACTCATTAGTCAAAATGACTTGAGACTAAACTTAGCAAACTAAACAGTGAGTAAACCTACTTCATGTAAAAAGTGTCTGAAGCAGCTTTTTGCATGAATTTACTGAACATTGTGCACTACTGTGTCAGTCAGCAGCTTCAGTACAACATAGTTTGGTTTGGTGGAACTCTATTGCTCATGCACTGCCACAACTTTCATGTATTTTTATGTATGCGTTTTATACATTTATAAGGATAGGTTAAGTAGAATAACTTAACCTTTCCTAATAGCTCCCACTTTAGTTTGTGTGCTGCAGTGAGCCGTTCAGGTGGTCAGGATTACTGCACAGATGTGAAAATGTATGTACATTTAAAATAATTTCTAGATCTTGACAAGTTGTTTTAATTATTATTAACTGTAAGAGAAAGTTACCCTGATATTATTGTTCAGTTCCAGGTACATGTCACTTGTTATGTTCTGTGGCTTTGTAGATCCACATCCACTGATCTTTAAATTGTAATGCACATGTGTAAATTAAATTAATATAATATATTGTTGAAATTGCACTTATTTTCCTTAAGAAAACTCAGGTTGTTCATAATGTTTTGTGAAAAGAAAGTTTATATAGTATAAAATTTAGTGTATGATAAGAACATAGGCCTGACGGTGCGGGATAATTAGGCGAGTAAGACACCAGTAGAATGGAGCATGGGCAAAACAAAGGCAGGATAATTGGGCTGATAAGACACCATTAGGATGGCGCATGGGCCTAACAAGGGCAAAATAATTGGGACCCACAGACTGGTGAAGATTTAGGGTCTTTCCAGAGTAGAATTTACACCATTATGTCGTGGATGGAAAAGGTTGAAGGTGGGCAGGACTTGTGACAGAGGGCAAAAGTATATAAGGAGAAGCTTTGTGAGGATGAATTCAGTCTTTCCATGGATGGCTCGGGCTTTGTTTGTCTGTCAAGATAATAAAGCTCTAATCTACTGCCAACTTTGATGAATCCTGGTTGTTATTTTTCCACCTGAAGGAGAATAGC